GCTCCCAAATGCGGCTAAGTGGTGGCCCATGTCACAGAGCTGTCTGGCACCACAGCACAAGTGACGAAACGCCTCAGCAAATTACAGCTGCGCTCTCCCCCACCTCACCAATTAAATCCTCTCAATCCATTCTCTCTGCCTAGAAACCAATTGGATCTTCTTGCTAGAGAAAGAGCTGCAAGGTTAGATTTTTAAGATTCCCCATCTCCAAGACTATTTTTATTTTGGATGACATACCAGTGGGTTTTCAGATGTGCTAGACACAGTTCGGGGGACCTACAGCCTCCGGATGGCTTACCAGGAAAACAGGGCCCTAATCTAGCTCCTCTGGACATGGGGAGCATTTGTAATTATCGGTACATGAGGCCATCTTCTGGCTGGTAGCTGTGAACCAAGTGAAGAGTGAAGCAGAATAATTCAGTTTTCTAGCTCAAAGCAGACCACTCCCTTCTAATTTCCCTGAATTGCAAAGAATGAGGGGGCTCATTAAAGATAGCACCGTGTTTTATTCCCAGCTCAGGTGTTAAAGAAAGGTCTATTTAACTGAACTGGGACTTTGTTTAGGCTTTGATTACAGAATGCAGGAAGCTCCCCAGATCAGTGTGAAGTGGTTTCAGGTTGGGTCCATCTTCTTGAGAGGGGAATGGGGCATATAGATGACAGCTAATTTTTTTGGACAAAGAGACCCAGAAAATTCTGTAAGGCTACTTACTTGTCCCCAGGTCCAGGTCCTCAGACACAAATTCCAATGAGTGCTTTTAACAAAGCAGTACTTTGTACAGAGGATAGGTAGTACCGTTGGCTAGGCAATGACAAAAGCCCTCGAGGAGCTAGGAGTTTACATTCTTTCCTCTTATCTGCAAAGTAAGATTACCCTGATGGGGTAGGGGGCCGAGAGAGACTCAGTATAGATAGCAGTTGCAAAGGAGAAAAGACAAAAAGCCCAGTAAGGTACCTGTAGGCCCAGTAGTTTAAAAAAAAAAAAAAGAAAGGAACTCACCAAACAAGAAAAACCAAGGACACTAATTCTGGCCACTGAGACCCTTCTGACCCAAGGGGAACAGGTCCTTCAGGGAATCCGATCCCTGCCTATTCCTTAGGCCAAACAAGTCCTTGGGGATCTCTAAAGTCCTTTCGGGAACCTGTTTGGAAAAACAATTTTTGAATAAAGGCATCAGAACCAAATGAGAGGTGCAGAATGACTCATACACACACACACACACACACACACACACACATTTAGTCAGACTAGACCAATTGTGGTATTTTCTTCTATTTAAATATACTTCTTTGACAAAGGGGAGTCTTGGGTCATTGGGAAGGAACCTCAGTGCTTAAAAAAGCATCAATAAAACATTTTTTGTGTGGAGACGACTTTCCTCTGAAAGAGTGGTCAAAACCTTCCTACATTGCTTGTGCAGAACAATCTATCAAATATGAATTTATTAAGCACTGTGCACTGGGCCAGACAATTTATGTGCCAGTGATACAAAGACAAAAATAAAATGAGTCCCTGCCCTCAGTGAGGTTACATTCTACTACTAGAGGAGACAACACGTACTTTTGTTGTTATTCAGTTGGGTCCAACTCTTTGTGACCCCATTTGGAGTTTTCTTGGCAAAGATACTAGAGTAGTTTGCCATTTCTTTTCCTAGCTCACTTTACAGACAAGGAAACTGAGGCAAACAGAGTTAAGTGACTACTTGCCCCCGGGGTCACACGGCTAGGAAGTATCTGAGGTCATATTTGAACTCAAGTCTTCCTGACTCCAAGCCCAATGCTTTATCCACTTCACCACCTAGCTTGCCCTACACAAAATGAATACGAAGTAATTTTTAGGCTGAAAAGCACCAGCTGCTGGGAGATCACTTAGGGCCTCAGAAACAGGGGTTCTAAAGGATCTACAAACCTGCTGATCTCTCATTATGTTTTGTTTCTCTCCTCACTCCCGCCTTCTCCCAACAAAAACAAAACCAACAGCTATGTCCATGCTGTGGGCATGGTCCAGTAAAGTAGAAGGATAAGCATGGATGTGCGGCCTTCTCCCCACCTTTCATCCCTCACTAAAGTTGCTGGGCTTAGCACAAACTTTGGATGGATCTCGGTTTTACTTATCCCTCCCATTTTTGGATGTTCATATCCTGCACTTAACCCGTGGGAGGCTTTTTTGGATGTTACTTACAACCCTCCGGCCTCAATTTCCTCCTCTATAAAGTAGAGCCCAACATAACTTGACAATCCATGGGCACTGTCTTGACCGAGCATGACGGAGAGAAGAATGTGTGGGAAACTATCAGCTTAGGTAGATGTGTGTGTTACTTAGTTTTTCTGAATTGCTTCTCCCCCCACCCTTTATATATATATATACATATATATATATATATGTATATATATATGTATATATATATATATATACATATATATATGTATATATATATATATGTATATATATATATATGCTTGACGATTCACAGATTTTGGCTCAAGATAAAGAAAAAGTGGAGTGTGAGGTTGGAGGTTTTTATTTTATTTTATTTTATTTTAATCTTATCTTTATTTTTTTAATTTTTAATATAAATTTATTTTTAGTTTTCAACATTCCCTTCCACAAGTTTTTGAGTCCCCCCTCCCCCCACCCCAAGATGTCATGCATTCTGAATATCCCTTCCCCTGTCCTCTCTTCTATCTCTCTCCCCTTCTCTTATCCCCTTCCCCTTGAGGTTGGAGGTTTTTACGGGCAGGTCAGGGACATTATGGAGGAGATTCTGGTGTGCGTCAGCAGGTAGATCCTATGAAACATCTGCCCATTACTGAGATGTGGAGTGGAGGAAGGAGATGCTGTCCTTCCCAAAAGGTTTTCCCAACAGCAGCCCCAACCCTAAACAAATCAAAAGGATCCAGGCTTAAAACACTGAGGGATATTTCAGGGGAAGGGGTGGCTTCCTCCATCAGAGGCTTCACTAGGGCTCTTACTAACACAGAGGTCAAGAAGGACCCTAATGGCTAGGAATTTCATTGAAGGAGCAAATAGTCTTGGGAGTATTCTGCGTGTCCCCTCCATAGAGTGTTTATGGGTCAGCCAACCCTTTGTTCACACATAGGGCCCATTGGAGGGCAGCCCCGTCAAGTTCCCACTGGGACATGTTAAGGTCTGCTTCCTAAGAACCATGTGAATGGCACTATACTCAGGCTGAAGGTCTGCCTCCTCCACAAAAAATATATATATATACATACCCTGGAAATATATATACATATATGTATTTTGTATATATATATGTATATATATATATATATGTATTTTGGTGGGGCTATTAGGGTTGAGTGACCTGCCCAGAATCACACAGCTAGTAAGTGTTATGTGTCTGAGGAGAGATTTGAACTCAGGTCCTCCTGTCTCCAGGGCCAGTACTCTATCCATTGTACCACCTAGCTGACCCTGTCCCCACCCTTTTTAAATCTTTTGTTGTAAGGGATGGTCCTCTGGCAACGGGAGAGAGCAGGGATACATTGAGAAATGAAGGTGATATAAAAACAAAAGATGCAAATAAATCAAGTGCTTGGCATATTTGTTGTCCCCTCGTGTCCGGCGGTTTGTGATTGGCTCTTTTGTGACCTAGATGACCACAATGTCCATGGGGTTTTCTTGGCAAAGATACTAGAGTGGTTTGCCATTTCATTCTCCAGTGGATTAAGGCAAACAGAGGTTAAGTGATTTGCCTAGGGTCACACAGCACAATTAAGAATCTGAATCCAAAGGGGCAGCTAGCTGGCAATGGATAGAGCACTGGCCCTGGATTCAGGAGGACCTGAGTTCAAATCTGGCCTCAGACACATAACACTTACTAGCTGTGTGACCCTGGGCAAGTCACTTAACCCCATTGCCTAAAATAACAAAAAAAAAAGTGAAAAAAAAAAGAATCTGAATCCAAATTTGAACTCAAGTCTTCCTCACTCCAGGCTCAGTGTTGTATCTCACATTAATAAGTGTTTGCTCCCTCTCCTCTCTCAGACACTGCTGTCAAATATTGGATATAGGATTGGAACTCAGGCCTTCTTGACTTCCTGTGCAGACACCCACTATGCCATGTAGGTGCCTCATTTAAAGTTGAAAGGGTCCTCATCCATCATCTAGTCCATCGTCATTTTACAGAGAAGGAAATTTTGTCTCAGAGAGGCTAGGTAACTTGCTCTGGGTCAACACGACCTGCAGCGGGGATTGTGAGGAAAGCATCTGGTAGACAGAAGCACTAGGGAAATTTAAGTTATTAGGCATGTGGTGGGGCATGAAGAAGGGAGCCGGGCGCTACCACTGGAGCAGGGAAGAAATTGGGGGTGCTGTGTGAAGTACACCACAGTGGGGGCAGCCTGATAGAATACAAAGACAGGGTTAGAAATCACAAAAGGGCAGCTAGGTGGCGCAGTGGATAGAGCACCGGCCCTGAAGTCAGGAGGACCTGAGTTCAAATGCGGCCTCAGACCAAACACTTAACACTTACTAGCTGTATGACCCTGGGCAAGTCACTTAACCCCAATTGCCTAAAAAAAAAAATGAAATCACAAGGCCTTGGAGTGTGTGACCTTGAGCAAGCTAGGGCACTCCCCTCTCAGGCTTCTCAAGTATAAGATGAGGGGCTCGGACTAACACAGTTCTGAACTTTAGGTCCATTGAGTTTATTTTTTTGAATGTTGTCAATTATGCCAATATAAACGGTTTCCTTTGCAACCTTGTGTGTTTTATTCTGTGCATTTAGAAAGGGTATTCAGAAAAGGTTGACTGGGTCCAAAAGGTTAAAAATCCTCCTGGACCGGAGGATCCCTGAAGGAGGCAGCTGCCCCCAAGGCTTTTTGAATCGGATGCCCGGTCCTCAGACCAGGGCTGGGAGCTTGGGCGTGGCCGGGGCAGGGGACCAGGGTCGGGTGGGAGGGGAGGATGCTGAGTCAGCATCCATCGCAACGTGACCTGGCAGTCATATGACTTTAGCCCTAAAGGAGGAGTTGCACTTGCGGTCTCCGGCGTTGCAGGAGCCCGGGAGCTAGGGACGAGTAAGTGCGGCGAATGGGATGCGGGGGAGGCGGGGGCGTGCGCGCGGCCGTGAGCCCTGGGCGCTGCTGCTGCCGCTGCCTCTGCTGCCGCTGCGGGGCCGCGCGGGTGTGCAGCCCCAGCGGGGGGTGTGCAGCCCCCCACCGGGAGCGCTGGGAAGCTGCCGGCTGGAGCCGGCTGCCGCGGGGGTGGAGCTGCTGTCCTCCTTCAGCCCCCGGGGACGGGAGCTCCCCAGGAGCTGACTCGGGCCCCGGGAAGCCGAGACCCAAGGAGAACAGGGTGCTAGGCTTTTGCTTTCTGTCTCCAGAGTGAAAGAGAAACCGGAGGGGCGATGGGGACCCGAGAAGGAAGCATCCCTTTTCTCCTTTTTATGTACCTTCAGCAGCCTTTTCAGAGTCAAGTCTGCATGCACTTATTAAGCGCCTACTGTGTGCCTGGTGAGGCAGTTAGGTGGGATAGTGGGTAGTGTCAGGCCTGGAGTCAGGAAGACCTGAGTTCAAATGCAGGCCTCAGATGCTTACCTAGCCTTGTGACCTTAAGCAAGGCACATAAGTCCATTTGCCTCAGTTTTCCTCTTCTGTAAAATGAGCTGGAGAAGAAAATGGCAAATTACTCTAATATCTTTGCCAAGAAAGCCCCCAGTTGGGTCACGGACAGTCGGACACCACTGAACAGCAACAAATGGGCCAGCCACTGATCGTGGGAGATAGAGAAAAAAGGCCTTGCCCATTGTAATAACATTTTCCATTTGTTTAACCTATTTAGTTGAATTTAATTCCTGTTCTCACGGGAATTGCTTCATATGACTGCATACCTGTGAAGTTAGAAAGGACAAATGTTATAACCTTCTAGGCCTTGAGTCACATAATCAAAGATTTAAGCTGTCAAAGACCTGGGTTTGAATGTTAGGGGTCATAACGGGTGAGGCCCAGAGAGAACATTTACATGAGGTCACAAAGGTTGCAAAGAGTAATGTTTGTTGTTCGGTCATGTTCAACTCTCTGTGACCCCATTTGGGGGTTTCTCAGCAGACACTGGAGTGGTTTGCCATTTCCTTTTCCAGCTCATTTTACAAATGAAGAAACTGAGGCAAACAGGGTTAAGTGACTTCCCCAGGGTCACACAGCTAGGAAGTGTCTGAGGCCACATTTGAACTCAGGAAGATGAGTCTTCCTGACTCCAAGCCTGTCACTATCTGTTGCTTACCTCCTAGCTATCTGTAAAGAGCAGAGCCAGGATTTTAAAGTGCTTTGTTCTTCTAACTCCAGATTCCACAAAAACTCCATACTGTCGCCTCCTGTAAAGTTAGAACTTGGTACTGCCAGCCCAGTTCCTTCGGAAATCACCTATAAGTGAGGTTAGAATGGGGCGCTGGATTTAGAATCAGGAGTGGAGGATGTTAGAATACTACATACTACAGGAAATGTGAAATGATCCCTTTTTCCTAGACCGGGACATTTGAGAGTTACAGAATCTTGGAACTTGTAAAAGGTTCCAGATGCATGCATGTCTTTCCTAACAGACTGGGCAAGGGGTCATCAATAGATAAGGTCCTTGAGGCAGGGGCTACTTCATTTTTGTCTTTGTACCCGCAACGCCTGAGTACAGCGTCTGGCTTAATAATGCTTGTTGGGTAATTGATCTAGCCTCTGCTTAGATATCTTACGTCTGGGAGCTCACTCCTTACAGGGACAGCTTGTTTCATTGTAGGACAACTGTTAATTGTTGGGAAGGTCTTCCAGTTCAACCCCAATCTGTCTCCCATGTAAGCATATGATGCCTCATTCGTTCAAAGGCTCTGATTTTCTCTGGTCCTTAGATCAAATGAAATGAGACGTGGGAATGCTATTTACATGCAAGCCATTATTTTATAGGCTGTCCCACCTTCTGCCAATTGTCTCCAGGATCCTTTGTCCCCAACACTGGGTGGCAGGTGATGGGGACAGCCAGGAGGGGCCTGTTAGATGTGTGGGTGAACATTTTGGGGGGTGGGGGTGGAAACTCTCCTGGCAGCAGGGTGAGAAGGTTGTAGTTGATTATATATGGACAGCTCAGAACTCCCTGGGGCTTATATGCTGGCTGTCCTAAAGGGAAGCATTTGCTTCAGCTCTCTCTTTTTCCTTGTAAATCCCCATATAGGACACAATGAAACTCATCATCTTAGAAGATGCCCTTCAGGCCAGTGAATGGGCTGCCAAGTACATCAGAAACCGAATCGTCCAGTTTCAACCAGGCCCCACCAGATACTTCACCCTGGGGCTTCCTACAGGTAGGTCCTTTTGAGGGGCGTGGCTGAGGTGGTAGAAGTGGGGAGGATGAGGTATCTGGAAGTGAGAAGCACAGGCAGCTTTGTTCGGGCAGCACAAGGAAGGCTTGGGCTTCCTTGTGTAGCATTTCTTACCCTGCAAAGGTTCTCAAAGCACTAATGGTTATGGGGAGGAAGGACTGCAAGGAACTTCAGAGCTCATCAATCCACCTGTGCCTCCAGACATGACACCCTTTAAATCATTCCAGAAAAACAACTGTCTACATTTGTTGCTCTTTGGTTTGGCATAGGTTTCTGGGGTTAGGAGTTACTTGTGATTGAGCTTACATAGCTAAACTAAACTAACTTATAACCAAAAAGTTGTAAGAAATGGGGTAGCTTTCTTTAGGAATATAAGAGCCCATATTCAACACAGATCCCTCTCTCCTCCCAGCCATGTGGTGCTCCTTTGCTCCTCACACACTTTTGCTCAAATTATTGATTTTGATTAAAATAGCTGAGATGCTAAAGTTACTGGCAAAGCTATAAAACCATCATATTGGGCCTCCCCAGACCTCGTCTTTGCTGTGCTCTTTTGGGGTCATGGAGTTTGGTAGAAGAAACTTGGAATTTACATAAGCATTAAGCTCTTTATTTAAAAATACAAAAAACTAAGCATTTGACTTTTGGCAGCCACTTTCTCAAGCACTAGAGGGAAACAGGACAGGTCCTTGAAATGGCAATTCAGTTGGATTCATTGGATATAAACAGGAAGGGAGGCGGTGAGCCATCCCCCAGTAGGCCACAGATGGGTTGATCAGCAGGGACCAGGTGGGAGTAGTCAGGAGATAACTGGAGGCACTTTGAGCAGACACTACCATTACCAGGACAAAGAGTAGTTTATTTATTGGAACTCAGAATGGTCTGGTGCAGGACTGAGGTTTTATAGCTGCAGCATCTCATAATTTTTAATTAATTCTTTCTCCCTTCTAACCTAGAATACTTCTCCACTTTTAGTCCATTCTCTCCTACCCTGTTTTCTGTGCAAATGGGGAGCAGTTGTTTACTGCTTTGTCTGGGATCCTGCTAAATAGAAAAGCAAGCATGACCCACTCAGGCTAGTCAAGAGGCTAAGAGTATTGTTTTTGTCTTGGTGTAGTAGATCGAGTTCTAGACTCAGAGTCAGGAAGACCTGGGTTCTAATCCTACTTTAGATATGTGCTAGCTGAGTGACTCTGGATAAGTCACTTAATCTCTGAGCCTCACTTTTCTCATCTGAAAAATGGACATAATAGCTATTTCAAGGGTTGTCGTGAGGATGAAACAAGGTGGGCAAAGTGCTTGGCAAACCTTAAAGCACTATATAAATGTGAACTGTAATTATTTCTCGAAAGAGGATTCTGTAAAATTACTTACTTATCAGACAACAAGGCTTGTGCACCAAATTATTTTTCTTACAGTGAGGATGGATTTTATATTGAGCCATTTCTCCTCTCGTACCTGGTTTCTCTTGTATTTGTGGGACAGAAGCTGTCCACGGCGGCATCCAGTCCTTGATCTCATTGGCTTCCCAGTAGCTTGGTGTTCTAACCATGGAGGGACACAGCTACAGGCTTGTTCATCATATCATCACATGGCAGTCATCAGATGTCTTCTGTGGGTACCAGCTGTGTAGGACGTGGCTGCTCAAAGGCCTAGTTCTTTTTTTTTCAGTCTTCTAGGGTGATGAGTGTTAACTTCTTTCTCAGAAGTCTCAGAGTCGTTAGAGCTGATGGCCAAGGTCTGTAGAATTTGGGCAGTGACTCTCTTAAGGAACAAAGGCAGTGGGGATGGTCTGAGTCTCACTGGGGTTCCCCGGAGCCCAAAAAAACTATGCAAAGCAATCCCTCCTTATGCCTGGTATGTGGCCGTGCAGCCCTGTGCTGTGGAGAATACATGAGTAACAAGACACTACCTACCTACAGAGGGCTTATAGTCTAGGGGGGAAAGAGCCTTGTGTGTGGGGGTGTGCTATATAAGAATGTGTTAAATTGTGACACACAGTCACACAATAAATATATATGAAATAAACTCAAGGAGTTAGAGAAAGAAGGGTCCAGGTGGGCTAGGGTTGGGTGAATTCCAACTTCAATTAGAGATTGCCTAGTAGTGAAGACAAAGCGGGTGAGAATCCCCATAATCAGACTTTTTGGAAAGATAAAGCGGTAGTTAGTTGGAAAGAGGAGAGTAGGGTTTCTGATCTGACCTGGGATCGATAGGCCTGGTCCTAAGAAAAAGGTGTCTTCAGGTCACTGTTTGGGCTTCTGGGCAATGCTAACAAACTCCTAGACCTCTCAAAGGGACACTCACTGACTTCCCTTTCTTCTAGGAAGCACTCCTCTTCCTTTCTACAAGAAGCTGATTGAGTATTATAAGAATGGGGACCTCTCCTTCAAGTACGTGAAGACATTTAACATGGATGAGTATGTGGGTGAGTGCTTTCTTAAGGGCCTATGGTGGGAAGATGTTATCGGAGGCAGTGGCAGCTTTCTGACCCTGGCTTGGGGCTCCCAGGAGGAATAGGGCCTTTGAGTCATGTGAATGATTAGCAGGGCAGGGGTGATAATGGGGGCTCAAGGCCTGGGCCTGCCAAGTAGCTTAGAGCATGGTGTCTGCCACTGACCTTTGCGCCTTCTGTGGAAAGAATGATTGCAGAGAAATTCGTGGCAGGATATGTCACCTGGAATCAGTATTTAGACCATCCCTTTTCTTAGTCTCTCCTTCTCCTCTTAACACTTCTTCCAGTCTGCTGGGGATATTAAACAGGAGACTGGGAGAAGTCTGGGACCTGTTTTGTTCACTCTGCCGTGTAAAATATTCTGCCCAACCCCCTTTCTGTTTTTGATGGGTTTACTTTGAAATTTCTTTGGTTCTTTGAATATTTGTTGTGTCTTTGCTGACCAAAGAAATCCCATCTTGGAAGCCTGATTGCTGTTTTTAGCCAATAAAGGTGTAATGAGTTGTGGGGTGCATAGGTCGAGTGAGGTAGGACACACAGGAAGGACAAAGATTTAGCTTCACACTAGAAATATTCCCAATTCAATCTGCAATTTTGCCAGCGAGTCTCTTGTGGAATAATTCAAAATCATTTTTAAAGCTGTTAGAAGGTAGTGATATCTTTTGTTTTCCTTCATGTCCTTCCTTCTCCCACAGCACACCGAGCCCCGTGGGGAAGATGGAGAGGAGGGAAGGAGATACAGGAAAACTTGGAAGAGAGGAAGACAGACAGAGAGGGGAGACAGGAGCAAAGAGAAAAAGGAGGGGGGAGACACACACACACACACACACACACACACACACACACACAGAGATTACATGGAATTTGCAGGTGGGAACCACCATACAACCTATCTCCTGCGGCTGGGGGATAACTTTCCCTTATGTTTGGTTAATTTTTCCAGGTTGGCCATAGGGTGTCAGGTAAACAAGTGGTGACTAAAACTTTCTGCTTCAGGCTGTTATCCCCCAGGAATATGTAGCACAGGGATCTTTAACCTTGGGTCCCTGAACTTGATTTTTAAAAATATTACAAAAACTGTATTTCAATATAATTGGTTTATTTTGTAATCCTATGTATTTAGCATAGGTATTTAAAAACAATATTCTGAAAAAGAGTCCATGAGCTTCACCAAACTTCCAGGGGGTCCATGACACAAAAATGGTTAAGAACCTTTGGTGTCAAGACTGGATGTGGCCTGACTGGGGCAGAGGCTAGGGAGATTATCACCTCCCTAATCTTGGACATGATGCTTATCTTAAGTAGCCTAAGATTTTATTAGCTGTTTTGGCTGCCATTGATCTAGCAGGTCACTAGAACCCTCAGATCTTTTTCGAGAAACAAAAAACCCAACATTGTTTGAGCATACTTTCCCCATCACTTCTGGAGTATAGTGTTTAATTCTGGATCCCATATTTTAGGAATGCTTTGATTCCCGTGATCTTCACCTTTACCCTATCTCAGCTCTAGACTTCACTCATCATCACCCTCAAGTGTTCTGCCTCCACAATCCCAAACTCTGAAGTTCCTTTATCTAATCATAACCTCTTGTCTTTCCATTCTTCCCTGTACCTTACCCCTCTCCTAAATCTATTTTCTATTCTCTTTACAGGTATAGTCATTTCAGCGCTTTTTCTAGGCTTGACTTTACTCTCAATCTTGACCCTTTAGTTAACTGGTCACCTTTGCAAAGTCTTCCATCCTTGAATCCCTTGCATCATTCATTGTCCAGCACTCTACCAATCTGGCATTCCATTTCCTTCGAGAGCTGGCATGGGGAGCAGCTAGGTGGTGCAGTGGGTAGAGCACCAGCCCTGGAGTCAGGAGGACCTGAATTCACATGTGGCCTCAGACACTTGACATTTACTAGCTGTGTGACCCTTATAAAATGCTTCATTGATCAATGGACATTGATGAACTGGAAGGTAAACGGGAGGGTGAAAATACATGAGTTATGCCACGTGAGGACGGGTTGAAGGAATTTGGTTTAGTCTGTAGAAGAGAAGGCTTGGGGAGGCACATGATACCTGTCTTCAGATATCTGAAAGTTGTAATGTGACAAGGGGATTAAATTTCATCTTCTTGGCCCCAGAGGGCAGAACCAGAAACAATGGGTAGAAGCTGAAAAGAGGCAGAGTTAGGCTCAACAAGAAACATTGGTAACCATGGAGAGCTTTCCAAAAATGGAATGGGCTGCCACAAGAAGTGCTGGGCTTCTCTTCCCTGGAGCTTTTCCTGCACAAGCCGGACAACCACTTGTCAGGGAAGCTGTAGAAGGGATTCTTTGTCAGCTATAGGTAGAGTCAGGTGAGGTGCCTTCCAACTCTCAGGTGCTACTGCCTTCCTCACCGTACATTCACCTTGTACTTATTTTGTGTGGTGTTTCAGAATATAGGCTGCTTCTTTTTTTTTTTTTTTTGGCTAGGCAGTCGTGTTAAGTAACTTGCCCAGGGTCACATAGTTAGTAAATGTTATGTGTCTGCGGCCAGATTTGAGCTCAGGTCCTCCTGAATCCAGGGCTGGTGCTCTATCCACCGCAACACCTAGCTGCCCCCAGAATATAGGGTTCTTAAGGGTAGCTCTATACCTAACCCCCAGTAAGGCCTGAATAAGTACCTGCTGATTGATTGATTTGTTTCTCTGAGGTGTCCTGTCAACTACTTTTGGGGGAGGACAGAAAGGTAACAGTGATGCTGTGTTCCTTAGGCATCCCACGTGACCACCCTGAGAGCTTCCACACCTACATGTGGAACAACTTCTTCAAACACATTGACATTTCCCCTACAAACGCCTATATCCTGGATGGGAATGCATCTGATCTGCAGACAGAATGTGATACTTTCGAAAAGAAGATCAGGGAAGCTGGAGGGATTGAGCTTTGTGTTGGAGGTGAGGTCAAACTTGACGGGCTGGTCTGTCAGTAAGTATTCAAGAGGAGGAGAAAGCATAGGTCTGTCCTACAGTCTGGTTAGAAAAAAGGCTGTTTAGCTTACTATTTCCTGGGCTGGGCCCTAAATCATTTCTTCCTCTCTCACTCCACCCTGCTGACATTAAAATTTGCCCATCCTTTTATTGTCTTGCTTCCTACTAGAAACAATGAACAGTACATTATGGTGGAAGGCACATGGCATGGAAACTCTGCCTTGTAATACTGGGCAAATCACTTCTCTATAGGCCCGAGTTTCCCCATCCATAAATTAAGGGAGCTAGATTCGGTGATCTTGAGGTCTCTCTTACATGAAATATTTATTGAATTAATCCAGTGAAATCATTAGCTACATTATTTTATGTTCAGATTGTTCTCTCTTTGAGGGCAAAATGATCCAGTATAAAAAGCAATGGATTTGGAGTCAGAAGATGTGGGTTCAAATCCTGACAGTGCCTCCATTATTGCTACATTGGGCAAGTCACTTGCCCTCTGGGCTTCAGTTTCCTTATCTATAAAATGAGGAATTTGGATTAGATTACCTCAGATAAAACCCCATGTAGCTCTAAATTTATATAAATTCCATGAGTTTATTCCCAGCTATTTACAGTAAGAGCAGAAAGTATTAGTTTATTTGTTGAATCAGGAGAGGTCTGAGGGTAATGATGTCAAGAAGGACAAGGGTACTCCACCTCAATTCTTGGACCCTCCATTCCCACCAGACAGACTCCTGAGCTTAATTAGTGTGGCAGTTCTGGTGTGCTTAAAGGTATCAGAATAATTTCTCCACCAGATGGGTTTGGGGGCAGGGGAAGAGACTAATTTTTCAACTCCTAAGTTATGAAGGGATTAGGGAGGAAGTGTTTGCCTTTTGGAAAGAACTGTAAGCCTGTTGAGGGTAGGCATGATTTGTCTCCCGGATGCTTTATAATTACCTGACAACGAACACATCACACAAATGGTCACAACATGTTCATTAGCTAGGAGCAAAGGGTGGCTCAGCTGAATTATTTTGTAACACAATAGTCAACCTCATGTGTGCGTGCATGTGTCATCATGTTTTATGTACTTTTAATAACCAGCACACGTTTTTTCCTCCAGTGTTGTGCACTCTGAGACTCACTTGATAAACTTTATGACCTACTGAAAGAAAGTAAGCTTTTTAATATAATCCACAGTGGGACAGCCCTGAGCTCATTATGTCTGAAAGTTTGCTGTGTTAGGCTGAGCTGTCAGTTACGTATCCAGGATATATTGTCTTGAGTAATAAACTGAAAGGGTCACCTATTTGTATGATTTTAACTTTTTTCAAAAGTGCTTAATCTATATGATCTCATCTGTATCTTCAAACTAGGTCTGTGAGGTGGCCAGAAAAGGTATTCTTTCCACTTTAATAGATGAAGAAACTGAAGCAGAGAGAGACTATAGCTTTTCTGAGGTCACCCATAATATAGTTAATTAGCAGCAGAACTTGGAACTTGTTTTCCATTGTACCATGTTCTTTTGGTGGTTCTTTGGTCAATGTGTCCTGGTGTCTGTGATCTTGACAGTTCACGGCAATCTCCGCTATTGATGAGGGAGTATTGACTTCCATGTCTGGTCTTCCTGGTACCACCTATTTCCTGTGCAGGTATTGGCACTGAAGGACACATCGCCTTCAATGAGCCTGGTTCCAGTCTGGCGTCTAGGACCCGAGTGAAGACTCTGGCCGTGGATACCATCCTATACAATTCTCGATACTTCGATGGAGAACTCTCAAAAGTCCCCACGATGGTTCTCACTGTGGGTGTGGGTACAGTCATGGATGCCAGAGAGGTGAGATGATGATAGAAGGGCCCTTCATCTTCCTTGATGTTTCCTCTGGGAGGCTTGTCCATCCGACAAGGCTTCTCTTAAGACAGGAGTGTGATTCCCTCTCCTTCCTGATCCAGAACAGTATAGGGCATATCTCTGGGAAGAGTGGCAGACTCATGGGACGCTACCTTCAGTGTAAGTAGTGTTCTGATGTTTCTTTCTCAGAGTCAAGGGTATGTAGTTAAACCACATGGGATTTAATGTTGGCATGTGAGATAGAACGTGCCCAGGGCCCATGACACTTGTTTTCCTTTTTACTGCATTTCAAGTCTGTATTGGGGGAAGTTTATTTCCTTCCTACAGACACCTGTGTCCTGTAGTCCAGTGACTGGAGTGGTAAATGTGGGCAGGGCTAATTGGTTGCAGTTGACCTTCCAAACAGGTATGTTCAGTTTGTTTCAAGATGAAATTCTTGTCAATGGAATCCAGTATTTGCACTGACTGACTTTAAAATTTCAGAGATGCTTTATTGTAATTCCTGATAGATCTTCAACAGGAGGTGGCTTTAAACATTTTGATCTTCCAGTTCAATTGCTCACTTAAATGCAGAAGTAATCATCTCATCCTTTTGCAAGGTGGAGAACTCTTCCCTTCTTTCCCTCCCCATTCTCTTTTTAAACTTTAGGTGGGTTCATTTGTTCCCCTGAACTAGTAGATGCTTTTGGCACTGTATTTTTAAACCCCTCCTGGAGTTTGTAAAATGTTGGTGCCTTAAAGGCCTAACTTAAAAAAGAAAAGTCATAATTATGACTCAAAGGAGAGAAGCCTCATCAGGTAACTGGAAAACCCGGCTTCTATCCCAAGTTTACCCTACTTGCTGGGCAGCACAAAGTCACTTCAGCTACTGCTGTCTTGGGTTTTCTTATTTTAAGACAGGCATAAGAACCTCTACTTAGAGCCATTTGTAAGAGTAAATCAAGATGAAAGGTTTTGGGGATGGAGGAGTCCCAAGTTTTAGGGGCTCTGAACTTAGATTCAGAGTTGTAGAATTTTTTTTTCTTAGCTAGAAATGGTCTTTGGATATCATTTATTCACTCTAATCACTTTATCTAAAACAATAAAAAAAAACTTTAATGAAGGAAAAGCAGTCCCCAAGGCCCAGTCTTCAGGTTGCTTCACTTGAGTTGGATGGCGAGTGCTGACTAGTTGACTAGTATGTCTTCCTGGAACTAGAGAATTCAGAGCTCTGAAGCAAGCACAGGTTGCTCGCTTGTCCAGTTTTCTCCCTGAGCCCTCATATACATTTGAATCTCAGAGAAGGAAAGCAAAAGAGAAGAACCAGTGTGTCATCCCCTTCTCTGTAGTTCGCCCTTAAAGGGTTTAACTTTCAGCTCTGGTATTTGGGTCATGAGGTGTGGTTATAAAATTAAAAATAGGGATTTTTATATTTAAGAAAAGCTAGTTGGCTAATGGTTTTTTGGTGGACATTAACTAAAGCATCTAATTCCCTACTGGTGACTAGGTTAGGTAATAATAACCTTTTGGATTTTACAGTTACTCCCTGGGACCCTTTTATAGATAGATGACTTTTTTTGTCCAGGTAGGTAAAAAGTAAGAGTACCCATTTTACAGTTTGGAAAATAGAGGCCTAGAGGATATCGGAAGCAAATTTCAGTGTCAGAACTGATTGACGAGATGTTTGTGGCTCGGAAGTGCCTATTTGCTTCTTCAAAAGGATATGTTATAGCAATAGTCGACAGTTTTATGGCGCTTTAAAGTTTGCAAAGCGATTTATATGCATTGACTCATTTGGGCCTCATTACCATGTGAGATAACTATTAAAGGTATCATTTACCCCCATTTTACAGATGAAGAAACTAAGGCAGAGAACTTAAACTACTTACAAATGGTCACACAGTGACCAAAGGTGGGATTTGAATCCAGGTCTTCCTTACTGCAAGTTCACAGAACCACATAGTTGCTAAAGCTAGAAGAAACCTTTACCTCCATTTAGTACAAGCTGTACCTATATAACTACATACATATGTATATATAAATATACGTATGTGTATATACATACATACACACACATACATACATATGTATACATTGATCATCCGCCATTCCCAAGCCAGACTTGCAAGTGAGGCAGATAGTATCCTATCCAGTCTCCAGAAGCAGCCACTTCCCACACGCCGTCCCGCATCTGTCTCTAGCCTTCTTTGAAGCTCTCCAGTGCCACCTCCTCTGTGAGAACCTTTCCTAATCCCAGCATTCCAGCTGCTGTAATGTATGGTATGAGTGGCAAAAATATCAGGTAGTTTATTTGCTATTAACGTTCTAGAATTTTATGAACTGAGAGCCTAGCAAATGGGCCCAAGAGATGGTTTAGTGACAGGGCCACAGCAAGCTCTTGGGGGCCTCGATTCCCTCCCTGTCCAGTGAACTCTCTTGTTTTCCAATCTCTAGGTCATGATCTTAATTACAGGCGCCCAAAAGGCACTTGCACTGCACAAAGCCATTGAGGAGGGGATAAGTCACATGTGGACTGTGTCTGCCTTGCAGCAGCACCCCCGTGTAGTATTTGTGTGTGATGAAGATGCCACACTGGAGCTTAAAGTGAAAACTGTTAAGTATTTCAAAGGTGAGGGTTGATATGGAATTACAGAGGGGGGAGGAGTGAATTCACTTTCCTACTTTGAATCTCTGGGTGATATATAAATAAGCAAAACCACAACCTTCTTGTAAAAATGGCCTCCTTTTTCCACACCTTGGGAGCTAATTGTTTAAGAGAGTAGGGATTTTTTTTTAAAGAATAGAGAATTATGAAGTTGAAAATATCCCAAATATTATGAATAATAAAAGACTACCATCTAACTCCCATGCTGTGGTAAGGATCCTCAGTTTTTACACTGTTACAGATTGAGTGCCTCACATTGTTAGATAACTACACAGGGTAAGGCATCGATTAGACTAAGTGCCCTGGGACTTTTAAGTAAACTGATTATGGGAAAATCCAGATTTATATACACCTTCACCAGAATCCTAGACAAATGTTTCATGATGATGTGTATCTAACCCTGGGTTCTTTGAAGGCTGGGCCAGTAGAGAGCTGGAGGTAATAGTAGACTCCAAGCTTAACAACCAATGCAATCTTAGGCTGCATAAAGAGACTAAATCCAGAATAAGGCAGTTGATCATTCCATTATGTTGTCCACTTCTTCTGAGCAGAGAAGTCTTTGAGATAGATGGGGACTTCTGTTCAGATATGGCCCTTCCAGTGCTGAGACTTTGTGATTGAGTTAAGCTGAAAAGGCTTCATTAATATACCTGGTGTGTTTAACATCCTAGTGTGTTTAAAATTACTTCCATAATTTGATAAATTATAAATAAGAAAATTCATGGGATATAACTGTTGCATCGAAGTTATAGACAGAATTGAAGTGCATTAGACAGAATACATGCAATTCCTACCAGAAAAGTGTTTATGATCTAGAAGACATTGGAAAAAAAGTTAAACAATCTCTGGGGATGGCCTCTGAAAACTACTCTGTGATGTACCTGAACCTGACCTAACCTGATTTTTGTTTTGTTCTTTTGGTAGGGTTGATGATTGTTCATAACAAACTAGTGGAACCACTGTACAGTATGAAAGAAGCAAAGGAAAACCAACCTTCAAAGAGACCATATAGTGACTAACGTTACCCTTGAAGCCAGCTGTCCAATCCCCCAAAGAGATACAGACTTTGAGGGAACAGGTCTTTAGGGGGAAAAAAAGTTTCATTGATTAAACGTTTTATATGCCCACTCCAATGTTTTGTCTGCCTTTGATGAAAGTGAACATAGGTGGGTATTTTGTACTCAGCAGTAAGGGTTGAAGCTTACAGAAATGGGTGTTTTGTGCTGTGATTTGATTTTTTCTCTGAAGTATGTCATTTTTTTTCTAATGCCATGTTCTACCTGCTAAATAAGGGGAAATGGAAATAGAAATGCCCAACGTGAACATTTAAAAAGTGCCCCTAAGGCACAGGGAACACACTTTGTTTAGAAGGGGTCTCTTTGGTAGCATATGGAAGAGCAGACCTGGGGAAAGTAAACATTTTGGACCTGAATAGGATGTAGGTGTAGGTGGGGAAGAATATCTATTTTACTTTTTTATGATTGTCTTCTCTCTCACAGCAGACCCCTCACTTCTTAGGATTGGGTTTAACAGAAAAACATCAATGTTTCACTCTTGAGATTTGTGAGTGCAAGGCTATACATATTGAAAAGTCTTCCTAGTGAAGTTTGCCCATCCCTATTTAAAATGCCTGTGCACTTTGCTGTCCTGTAATATTCATTCAGTAAACTTTTATCATCACCCACTATGGACAAAGTACTAGGCACTGAGGGAGATACTAAGCTAGATCAGGTATACTATCCCTGCTCTCTGGGACCTTTTTCAATTAGGGATATTTTGCTGAAGGTAGGACATTTCATGCTATCCCTCTTCTAGATGATGGGAACTTCCATTGTTTGGGATGGCCATACTCATTCCACTCACTGTGTAGCCTTCTTACTATCTAATCTTTTATGTGCCTATGACAAGCTACTGCTGGTTCCACTTTTCGGGGAAGTTGGGTCTGATTCAGGTGCCTCTGACAGAACTTTTGAATACTGTGTTTTCTACTTGTATTTAAATTTTAGCTTTTATGTTATTAGTAAAATTGTTTTGAACTGATGGATAAATGGACTTGTTTACAATGTGATATTTTCTATTAAATTTGATATTTTCAAATGGAACGTGGTGAAGAGTAATGAACTTCCTTTTTAATCCTCCCCTACAAAGACCACTGGTATGTTTACTTCATAAGTAAAATGTTTTGCAATGACTCACTTCTTCACATAAGCCTAGAGATTCAAAATTATACTTGTCATCTAGAACTCCAGATCCTTCCTCCTTAATTAGATGGCCTCTAGTAAGGAAACCAACTAATTACTTAACTCCCGTAATTTATGTAGATTAAAAAAAATAAAGCACAAAGAGGCTGTAACTTGTCTGGGGTTGCAAAAGTAGTGACAGAGGTAAGATTTGGGGCCCGGTCCTCTGATTTCAAATAACACTTAGAATGTGATAGGAATAGTACAGTATGAGTGGTATAGAGCCACTTTCGTTAAATATTTCCCAATTATATTTTAATCTAGTTGGCCCACATATGTTTGACACTTCTGGTGTATAAGAAAGGGCAGTTAGATGGTGTAGTGGATGGAGCACCAGCCCTGGAGTCGGGAGGACCCGAGGTAAAATCCAGCCTCAGACACAAAACATTCACTGGCTGTGTGACTATGGGCAAGTCACTTAACCCTAACTGCCTCATATATTAAAAAATAAAGAAAGAAAAAAAAGCCACTAAGATTGTGTATCAGAAGACCTGGGGTAACTACATAGCCTTGGGCAATTAATTCATTTAGCTACTGGGCCTCTTCAGTTCTCAACCCTATGATCCTACTTTCATAAGCCGTTTAAAATTTATTTTGGAAAGTGTTGGAATAACTTTTTTTTTTACTTAAAAGTTGCAATAACACCAGTGAAACTGATCCTCTATTTTTGTTCCTGTATTTAATTTTATCTTATGTCTGTATAACTACCTATCATCACCTTCTGTCATTGCATAGTCAGAGAAAAACTAAGTTAGCAATTCTGTCTTAATCTTCACGTTGTGGATGCTTAAAGTTCATAATCATCATTTAGATTAAAAACCACCCTAGGGAAGCTAGTTTTTTTTTTTGCCCAAGGTCACACAGCTAGTATGTGTCAAGTGTTTGGTCTAAGGCTGCATTTGAACTCAGGTCCTCCTGACTTCAGGGCTGGTGCACTGCGCCACCTAGCCGCCCCTGGGAAGCTAGTTTTCTGACCACAGAGATCTAGTAAACTTGGATTCAAGAAAGACTGTCTGGCTATTGATAAGTCTGACAGGACAAGATAGTGTTATGATTCTCTTGCTCCTAATTTATTGAAGGCTTTACCTGTAACTTAATCTTTACTTGATTCTCTATTAATGCCTGCAGAATTTTGGAGTTCACTGCTTTGCTTACATGGCAAATAAGCTGTCAATGTTTGTGTAGTCTAGACTGTCCTTAATGTTTTGGCATTATCACATTCTTCCTGCCTTTGTAACATAGTCAGCTGACATTCTGTGTATCTTGTGTGTAGGGTGGGGCACAGTGGGAAGCGCTGGCCCTAAAACCTGACTCTGAGTGCTTCTGTACACCTAGCGGCATCTCTCTCAGACTGAATTGCAGAGGAAGTTTCCAATGAAATCACAAGTTCAGTTCCTACTCCATGTACATGTACACACACGAGGGGAAATGGAGAGAAAAGACAGGGAGAAAATCAAATGGACTGTCAGCTGATCGCATTACTAGTCCATTTAATCAATTATGCTCTACCCTGCTGTAGTTTGACCACAACACAAAGACTTGTGCCATCTACTGGTGACACTTGTTAATAAGCACCCAAAACGTCTGTATCTTTTGTCATTGTTATCGTGTGAGTTTAAAATGTATTCAGTAAGCTCATTAGTCTCAGAATGTGGCTCAGTGACCAGAAATCCTTTCCTACCACTCAATATTTCAGGGTCTAAATCTGTTTGTAAGGCACACTGTACTCTGTGATCTCACTGGAAGCTTTGTTCTCATGAACTCTAAATGATTTGTCTCTGTCTTGATAATACTATGGATATATGATAATCCCAGAAAACCAGATGAAGCCTTGGAAAATACTGTGATCAGCAGGCAGGGGACTAAAAAACTCTAAATAGCCCATTTGCTTTTCAAGATTTTTGAGTTGGTTTTTTTGGGGTCAAAACATGATTTATGTTAGATACCCCTGCATTATAACAAACTTGGTATAAAACAAGGCCAGAAAATAGCGACGACTACCATGTTCAGCTCCTTTCCATGGGATAAAGAGTAAATATGGGCCTCAAAACCTGAAGTGGGCTTTCTTTACTTCACTGAACCTGGACACTCAAGGCCACATGTGGCTCTCTAGGTCCTCAAGTACAGCCCTTTGATGGAATCCAAAATTCACAGAACAAATCCCCTTAATGAAAGGATCTGTTCTGTAAAACTTAGACTCAAGTCAAAAGGCCACACCCAAGGACCTAGACCATGTGTGGCCTTGAGGCCAAAGAGCCCCCCCCCCCATGAATTATACCATGCCAATGAACACATACATACCATACCATAAGCAGCCAATGGAAATCTCCCGAGAAAGTGGAGGGAGCCTTCTAATTAGCTTTTTTAAAATAAAGTATTTATTCATTTGTAGATTACACTCTCATTTTTAATAGAACTAGACTCAAACCCTATTTTACAAAATTAAGAGGGATGTGGTTTCTTCTAATCACTGTTAGGCTTAACAAACAGCAGTAAATCTGAAGAGGATATCATTCTGTCACAAATATTCACAAGTTTTCACTGGGATTCAGTTAAGCTATGGTAAAGCATCTTGCTCAGTAACCAAGGCCTTCATGAAACCAAACTACAAACATAAATCTCTTTTCTCTATTGTGTACTTTCTAGATGAAGAATCCCTTTCCAAAGCATTTCTCACACATAAAAATCAGTATCTTATTTTTTCCAGTCACTCAGAAATAAAATAATTAGAAGCTAAAACTTGAAGCCATATTAAAATTAAGTTTATAAATCATGCTGAAAAATAAGGATCCTCCCCTTCCGATGTCTATAGTTAAGGGTAAAGGCTTTAAATCTAAAAACATTTTTTTACATATGGAAGTACTCTTATTCTTCCCATGTAAAGATGGCTTCCTTCTACTCACTAACAGTTAACAGTACATTTTATGCAGTGGCCTCAACTAATACAATAATTTGCATAAAGCAGACAACTTAACAGATTTAAGCACCCAATTTGATGAGACCAATTGTTGCTTAAAAACCAGAACTTGATTCTCTTTTCACTCAGCAGCCATTTACACTGATATATACAGATAATTAGTTTTCTGAATTCACATTTATTGTGTTCAATTTATTTTTAAAAATGAAGTAAAAAAAGTGTCTGTAAAAGGTACCGCCCTTGAAAACAATCAGTTTCGTCAAAACACAGGTCCTAGAACTCTAACTCCAATTAGAGGTCCAGGGGGAAAAAAAAGTTCATTCTATGATTTTACTTTGCCGTCTTCTTAAGTATCCAATTATTTTACCCATTTATCTTGATTGGACAATTGCTTTAGGACTGAATTGGTAACAAACTAGCTCACGACAGCTAGTAAGATGACCAAATTATGCTCTCAACATGGGGTGCACAAACAAATCACACAAAGAAAGGACAGCTAGTAATTGTTGCCAATCAAAAGCTATGTGGTCCAAAATGTAACCTTAGAATCACAGTAAAACAAAAAAAAATACTAATTTTATTTTTAATAACTTGAGCTAACAATTCTGTTGCCAATAAAAAGCTATGTGGTCCAAAATGTAACCCCAGAATCACAGTAAAACAAAAAAGTGCTAATTTTATTTTCAATAACTTGCATGCAGATGCATGGAAAAGGACTGGTTTCACAAACAGCAAATGAAGATACTATCTATAGGCCTTCTTCAGTCAGAAAAATTTACTTGAAGCTTTATATTAACTATGCTATCAAGTCACTCCTACCAAGAATAGTTTGCTTTCTAAAAGCTTGCAAAAACTAAATAGCAAGGCTTCCATACTTCCAACTAAAAACTCTAAATCACTGTAGAAAGTATGGTTTTTAAAAGCAGAATTCAAAGTCAGGGTTGATATCACATTGATTACCTGCTACCAGGGGAGTAGCATTCTAAATAGTCACAAGCAGCAGATAACTCAAATATAATTTTTATTCACCTTGGAAACATTTCAATTTTCCCCATAGCTGGTTTTTTCCCCCTCCCCTTAGGTTTAAGTAAAAGAAACCTTACCCTCTGTCTCACTGATTTCATTCACAATATGTTTTACTCAGGATAATATTAAAATCAGTTCACGTTAATCGCCAACCCAACTTAAAAGGTATGTGTGAGAGATGGGCTAGGAGAAGTAGGTGACTGAGGAAAGTCACTATTGAATTTTACTTCATATAAAAATGGATTAGAATTGAATATAAATCATAATTTTAAAGTGAAGGGATCCACTCATGTTCTTCTGATTCCGTAACAATTCACTGAACTCTACATTTGGCCCAAATGTGTTGTTAAATAAATAAGAAAATAGCTATGAAATGATCCACAAATATTTGTGATACTGGATAAAAATAAGTGATTTCTGATAAACTGGAAAAATGTCCGTATGCTCTTTTCACTGTAAAAGCCAGAAGTGCGAGAGGCCATTGGAAGATCTGATCAACTGAAAATTTACAACTTTATCACTATTCTGGGACCGATATGGCAGGTATGTGACCTGGAATTGGTGGGAAGGGCACATCTCAGGCTATGATTCGGCAGTTTCCCCTAGAGTGTAAAGAGCGGTACTGAATGGCTCCAGTGGGAAATGACCCCAAGGAATGTGCTTTTGATTTGATACCCTGAAGAGCAAGATGCCTTAGAGATATGAAAAAGGTCTTTGAAAGATTATCATTTTGACCCCTCTCCCTCTGAGCCTGGGTAACAAAGAAAACATTTATAGTTCAGAATCTGGGGCACATTGTGATATTGAATACTTTTTCTAGTTTTTGCTAATGTTTTCTAAAACCTTTGGCTTATAATTGTTCACATTACACAACAGTGGAAAATTATACACGTGCCTTAATCAGCAGAAAATGAAAATAAAACCATGTTCTCCCACATTTCCTACATGGGAAGAATGAATGGTTCTCTAAACCTCCTGCAGGGTCACACACTGTACTCAACAAAAGAATAGGGCAAACCATTCCACTTCTATAGCTTTGAGGAGTAAAGTAGTTAAACTAATCTTCAATCTCATCTTCCCAAATGTCACCATCAATATCCACAGCTTGAAATAACCTGGAAGAACCATAAAATAAAATGCATTTTTATGCACTGGGAAGAAATGAAATATCACTCTTTTTTTTCCTTCAAAAGCATCTTTGGCTCCTCTTCCTTGATAACTCCATTACAGAACTTTTTAAGCATTCTACTACAGAAGAGTGAACTCAGTTCCAAGTATCAGCTATGCAGCTGGTCCTGAGTTTGCTGAAGCACCCTTAAAGTGGCAGCACAATGTAGGTTACTGTAAGGCCTTCATCATAGGGTCTGCAGACCTAGGTTCAAGTCTAGTCTCTGATATTAAGTTGTGTGATCTTGGGCAAGTACATTAATTTATATAATCTTTGATTTCTTCATCTAAAAAATGGGGCAAAATACTTGCTCTATCTTCTTCCTTAGCATAGTTGTGAGGAAATTGCTTTATAAACCTAAAAAGCTGTTACAGAAATTTGAACAGGTACTCTGCTCCAGGATCCAAATTTAACAATCCAAGCCTAAGGATGAAATACTCTTAACTATGTGCACCTTCACAAATATGTTCAGTTTTAAGGGCATGCATGTTATATGGAGTGATTCCTTGGCTATATTAGGCAGTTTAACGAGGAGGTGTTATCAACTCTTGAAAGCCACTAAGCCCTATTTAATGCTAACCATTCCTTAATTCTCTTCTTTTAGTTCTCACTTCCTACATTATTATGTACTTGCCAATTGATTTCTGCTCAAATTATTTTTTAAAAAAAGGAATGTTTTATTTCTTTCACTATTGAGTAGTTCCAGGTCAGGAACTGTTTGTTCTTCTCTACACGTCCTCTGAAGGCACACAGCAGATATTCTTAACTTGACTAGTGTATTGAAGTACAGTAGAAGTAAGAACCTCACTATAATAGAATTTGTTATTATATGGGTTTAGACAGATACCACAAGTCAAATATCTGCTCTGAAACATAATTACATAAAAAGCCTTATAGAGAGCACAACCTATAAAGATAGGGACTAGTTCTGTCCCCAGATACCAGCATTAAAAAGTTCTAATGTAGCAAATTAAAAAAAAGAAAATGAAACCCTATGGATTCCAAAAGAATCCATATTCAAGGAACTGCTTCCTAATGAAACAGATATATGGTCCGGTTTACTGTATTTATTTAAGCTATTCTAAGAAGTACTGGAAAATATTGCTTGCCTTAGGCCATTCCTGTGTAATACATACCGGTTAAAGCACGGGGAAGATGGATCATTGAAATGTCTATAAGGGTTTGCTCTAGACAGACAACCCATGCAAATCCAGCAGAAATACTGCATACAGCCAGTACATGTCATCTTGTTACATCCATCTAATTTCTACTGAGAGAGAAAGAAAAAGTAGAATAACAATGCTATAAAATCAAAAAGGAACATAACACACATAGGTTCTGCATGACATCTAACCAATTTAACTAGCATGCCTACTCCTCACGCTGGGGTTACACATGACAATTTATTAATTTTACTTCACTTTCATGCCAATAAAAGCAAAGGAAATTTTCAACAAGTGTTCAAATACTTCTTATAGCAAAAACTTTTGGTTGATAGCCAATCCAAACCAACGAACATCTGGCCTTTAGAACTGAAAAACATAGGAATAAGACAATACATACTTCAAGAAGAATTTGAATCTTATTAAATAACGATTAAAAACCCTCCAACTCCAATACACAGCTCTTTGGATGTCAGTGTCAATTGGCTCTCAATGGCATTTTTTCATAGAGACTGTGATACAGGCAATCAGCATCATTAGCTAGAGATCACTCTGTTCGAGCTAACTGGGGTGGGAGGGGGAGAGGTGGAAGGGGAATTCACAGCACAGGTAACAAAGAAACCATTTATTTTTGGCTGCATTTTAAGCATATACTTAAAATGTACCAGGATGATGTATTCCGGGAGAAATGTGAGTGGCAGAAGGCCAGCTTACGATTAAAAAAAAAAAAAGGCCTAGAATAATACATAGGCCTATCAAAGACCACAGCTACAGCGTGATCGCTTCTGAAGCCAGTTCGCCCTTACGTAGTGGATACGATAGAATGGTATCAAATGAGGTCTAATGTGAAGAAAGTACTTTGAAAAATGTGAAGTGCCATATAAACATAAGACATGATAATTGTAATATTCAATAGTGAAAACATTTGTATCTTCCAGGTAATGGGATTTAATAAACACCAAAGGGTTTTATAAACTTGACTGATTGTTAAGTTTGTACACTTGAACAAGTCTGAGACAGACAGACCAGTTAAATGAGGACCTGCCTGCATGATTCTCTCCATTTGTCCCCACAGACTCACCTCTATATGGGTGCCACAGCTAGGGCAGCTCTTTGAGTTCTTTTCTAGCCACTCTTTACTTTCCATTTCTTCTAGTGCTTTCTGAATCACCCTTTTGCCATACCTCTGTTCCAAAAATCGTTTATTGGTCTCATCTGCTTCAAGATACTCATTTCTCAAATCAATTAGCTTTTCTATAAAGTGAAAAGGAAAGTAACGTTTTATATAAAGGCAAATGGTCAAGGATGCATGTTCATCAATTTCTCCGGTCAGCCACCCAATGAGATTATGACCAGATGTATATATAAAAACAACTTTTGCTCCAAGACATGTTATCAGTTAAACTCTACCCATCCTGGGGCCTAAACTAAAGGAAATAAAACCTATCATGGAATCACTTTTCACACTGCAGTCTAATCTTTCACATCCAAGTTGAACCAGGCTATCCATAGAAAGCCTACCTCTACTTTCCACTAACCTACTTTCGGACTTTCTCATATGATCACTAAATCAGCAAGGACTTACTAAGCACCTACTATATAACAAGCCATATGCTTTATACTATATACTGGAGAAGGAAATAGCAAACCACTCCACTATCTTTGCCAAGAAAACCCCAAATGGGGCCCAAAGAGTTAGCACAACTGAAAAACAACAACAAACATACCAGGCACTGTGCGAAGAGCTGGGGATAGAAAATTGATAAACGGACCCCGCTCTCAAGAAACTCACACCTACTAATGGGGTAGACGACTACAAACAAGATATATACAGGATAAACTGGAGATCACCAAAAAAAGACACTAATTAAAAGGGGCAAGGAAAAGCTTCTTGTAGAAGGCAGGAAAATGTTATGTGGGAACAACAAAAAGGCCAGTGTCACTGGACTACTATGTACAAGGAAGGGGTAGAAGGGGGTGTGTGTGTGTGTGCGTGTGTGTGTGTGTGTGTGTGTGTGTGTGTCCCTCCTGGTCAGGTTTCAGGACGATCCATTTGGGGTGGTGGCAGTGCCAAAGGAGAAAGAGGAGAGAATTGGGGAGAGAACTGGACATATATGATAGCTGTTGTGACAGATGAATCGATAGGCGTTGGCAACTGATTAGATGAGTGTTGAGAGTGAGGAATGAATCAAGGATGACACCTAAGTTGTGAGTCTGGGTGACTGGGAGGATAGTAGTGACAGCAATAGCAGAGTGAGGAAGAAAGAAGGGCTTAAGGAGAAAGATGAGTAGTTGTGGATATTTTGAGTTTAAGATGTCTACAGGACATCTAATTTGAGATGTCAAAAAGGCAGCTGGAGACATGAAATTGGAAGTCAGATAAGAGATGGATAAACAGATCTGAGATTCATCTGCATGAAGATAATTAAAATACACAGGAGCCGATAAGATCACTAAGTGAAATAGTAATGGAGGGAAAAGAGAAGAAGGCTCAGGAGAGAACCTTGAAGGACAATGGAGATTAGTGAGTGGGACCTGAAGATCTAGGAAAGGAAACTGAGTGGTAAGACAGGTACGAGAGGAACCAGGGGAAAGTAGTGTCATGAAAACCTAGAGAGAAGAGAATAACAAGAAGAGGAGGACTGACAGTGTCAAAGGCTGTAGAAAAATCAAGTAGGATGAGGTTTGAGAAAAAGCCATTCATTAAATGTAGCGATCTAAGAAATCATTGGTTGGGGCAGCTAGATGGCACAGCGGATACAGCACAGGTCCTGGAGTCAGGAGGACCCCAGTTCCAATCTGACCTCAGACACTTAATAGCTATGTGACCCTGATGGCCTCCCCCCTCAAAAGAGAAATCATTGGTTAACTATGGAAAGGGCAGTTTCAGTCCAATGATGTAAACTACAAAGAGCTAAGAAGAGTGTGACAGGAAAGGAAGCAGACGTAGTAATTACAGAATACCTCAAGTTTAGCCACAAAAGGTAGGAGAAGCATAGGACAAGAGCTAGTGGGGATGGAGATAAAGCGAGGGCTTTTTGAAAATGGAGATATGGTTATATGAGGACTAGGGAAATAGCCAGTAGCCAGGGAGAGACTGAAGATCAATAAGAGAACAGAGATGATAGAAGAAGCAATCTGTTGAAGACAGGATGGAATAGGATTACTGGTACATGTAGGGGTTTGTCTTGACAAGGACAAATGCCACATCTGTGCATTAAACTGGGGTAAAGGAGAAGATATGAAGATGAGGGAAGAAGAAAGTGGCCTCAATTTTCTCAGTCTGGAAAAGCTACATGAGTAGGTTAGGTGATTAGCAATGAGGATCCAGTTGAGATTGTGTAACATGACTTATAGTAGACTCAAATCAGCAGTTTCATGAGTTTTCTCCAGCTCTATTCAGCAGTACATGAGTAAAAGAGAGGGCAGCAGATGGTGGGAGTAATCCAAGGTTGAGGCTGGCAGAGGGCGATCAGCAATATTTTTCTCCCCAAAACTTTCCCTCTACCCCTCAGTCAACTTCCATATTACTGTCAAGGGCACCACCATCCTCCCAGTCTCCTACAGAGTCATCTTCAACTTTTCACTATCTTTCAACTCCCATATCCAATACGTTAAGACCTGTTGAATTCATCTCTGCAACATCTCTCAAATACGCCCCCTACTCTCTAACAGTCACCACTCTAGTGCAGGCCCTCATAACCTCATGCCTAGACTACTGAAATAGCTTGCTGGTAGATCTGCCAGCCTCACTGTCTCAGTTGTCTCTGCCCCCTCCATTCAGTCACCAAAACAATTTTCCTAAAGTGCAGATCCAGCCATATCACTTTACTACTCAAACTCCAGTGACTTACTTTCACCTTTCCAGGATAAAATGCAAAATTCCTTCATGACTTTTATCCTACCCTTCCCATCTCCCCTCACCCCTCCCTGCCCAGAATTCTCATACCCTGACAGATAATTCTTTGATCCGGTGACATGGCCTCTTGGCTGTTCCATGAACAATACATTCCATCTCTCGGCTCCAGGCATTCTCTGGGTGTTCCTCAAGCTCTCCTTCCTCATCTCCCCATCCTGTTTTCCTTCCAAGTCCCAAATAAAATCCTGTCTTTGGGTCATGACCACATATGGGGTCATGTAACTGAATGTGAGACTCGAGAAAATTTGGCAACAGTAAAGGTTTTCTGAATGCTCAATGACCAAAAATTAATTTAAAATCAAACGGGTAATGAATCTGAGGTGTTTCTGGTAGCACTTGCCCATGTTACATGGTGAAACTTCACTGCAGCCTTGGTTCTGAGCACACATGTGCACTCTGCACTGTGTATGCCATCTGTCACAGAACGCCAATGAATGCTGCCAGAACTTGGCTCAGATTCGAGACTACTGTATGTTATGAACTGCAGTGTTTTTACTGTACATACAAAATTGTTCAATTAATTTTGGCTTGAGATTATTACAGAATTTCCAAAAATTTCTGAAATGGCCCAGAACATACTTCCGCCATTTTGTACTATGTATTTATGCAAAGCAGCATTTTCAGCATCGACCATTATAAAATCAAAATAGCACTCAATTATGAAAAACCCTGAAGGTGTTCTATGTCCTGTAGTATCAAATATTCCACCAAGATTTAATTCTTTATGTAAAAATAAACAAGCACATGTATCTCATTAGTATGCAACTTTGCTTTCGTCTTTAATAAATGGTAAAATTATATGTGTATCAAACAATTTTAAAATAAATTTCTTTATTATTTATTATCAGTAAATGTTCGATTTGTATACCTATTTTATATACCTATATACCTGGGGGGTCATGTAAAAATTTCTCCGGCGAAAATGGGTCATGAGTGGAAAGATTTTAATACGCCCTGATCTCAAATACATGAAGCCTCTCCCCACCCCTCCTGATTCTAGTACCTTCTCTCTTTGAATTATTTCCTACTTATCGTGCACATAGCTTGTCTGTACATATTTGTTTGCTTGCTGTCTCAATCATTAGATTGTGTGCTCCTTGAGGGCAGATATTGCCTTTTTTGTATTGCCAGCACTTTGTTTACTGCCTAGCACACAGCAGGTGCTAAATAAATGCTTATTGACTGACTGACTGAATAGGATAAGGGGGCAGGGGAATTAAGAGAAGATAGTATATGGAGTTAAACTTTCACCATGGGGTCAAGAAGGGGGACCCTGGGCAAGTCACTTAATCCGTTTGCCTAAGAGGCAGCTAGGTGGCTCAGTGGATACAGCACTGGGCCTCGAGTCAGGAAGATCTGAGTTCAAATGCAGGTTCAGACTCTTACCAGCTGTGTGACTCTGGGCAAGTCACTTAACCTCTATTAACCTCAACCTCTGTTGCCTTAATCTACTGGAGAAGGAAATGGCAAACCACTCCAGTATTTTTGCCAAGAAAACTCCATGGACAGTATGGTCTATGGTGTCACTAAGACTCAGACACTACTGAACAACTCAACAAGAATAACAAGATGGGGAATGCAGGAGAATATTGTCAGTACAGGGGTAATACCCTGGGAAAGAACTGAGGGGTTGAAGGACTGGAGGTTGCAGTGAGAACAAAGTACATAAATATATATATACATATAGCACTAATATAAGATTAATAAAAACAAAAATATATGAAGCAGTTAAATACATAGTAGTTTTTGTAGGGTTAGTGGGTGGAGGAAATCAGGAAAGGCTTTATGCAAAAGATGATGACAGGGAAGACTATTAATTAAGGTACTCTGGGATCAGAGCCTATTTCCACTATACCACCCTGCCTCCCCAGTTTTGATTCCCCATCTCACTCAACCAGGACTCACAAGGAACTCAAATGACCTTAAATTTAAAAACACAACCTTATTCAACAATCCTGCTTATTTAATCTTTCAATATCTTCAGTCTTCTGTAATCTGCTTGCTTGACAATATTGCCTTAATTCTTTCTTCAATTTTTCAAGCAACTATTTAGAGTATCCTCTTCTTAACACAATGAGTTTTGTTTAACCACATTTTGCATTTTCATTCATTGCAATGCTAGTGGAATTACTTATCTAACATTTTTACCATGTGAGCTCCCTGCCTCTAATAATTAGAAACATCTTCCTTTTTTCTTGACATCTCTATATTAGCATGATTATGTCAATAGGATACACCTGTAATCTCAAAATAAAAGTAATCAACAAATTAATATTAGCATTGGATTTTTAGGCTTCTTCTCAATTTTATTGATATCTTAGGCCTCTCTGTATCCAGTTTCCATCTCTACCTCAGTACAGCAAATTCAAAGAATTAAAGCGAGCTTTAGCTTCCACCTCTAGAGGAAAACAATGAGACACACATAAGTAAAAGACAACATAGGTACTTGAGTTAATTTTGTAACTTTGTTGATTTTGCAGGGACAATAGAGATAAAAAATCCAACTTACCTGATTTTAAGCTTAAGAGCACAGAACACAAAATCTATTTAATACAATCTAAAAAAACCCTTTCCGTTCTGTTATCATGTCCAATTTGGCCCTACAGTGATGATGTAACTGCCTCTGCTTTTCCCTTCCCAGATGACATCGCCAAAATGTTGCTCTGGTAATCTGTAGTAGTGTTCTTCTCAATGTCTTTGGAGAATCATAGTGAAAATAACTGTGACAGGACTAATTACGACACTGGGAGGCTCCTATGACCACAAGAACTTCCCTTCAGATTTGAACATATTGTATTTGTTAATCTAACTGTTGAAGAGTAAGGATATGTGACTGTCAATTTTAGAAAACTTGCCATGGTCTAGATGAAATGAAGTTTAAATTCTCCATCCTTGCTTTAGACTATGCTGTATTAATAAACAGAACACATTTTTCTAGAAGCCACCTTAAATTAATAGTTCTCTTCTTTTATACCCCTCCCCTCAAAGCTGTAAGAATTCTTTTCAATTCCATTTCCAAATCATTACAATTACCTGCAGTTACTTTACATGGAGAAACTCCATGATAAGTCATTTTGCAAAGCGTACAGAAGGCATAATTGCAACTGGAACAGATGCCCATGGTACATCCTGGTTCTTGCATGACAGGAGTCTGACAGCATGGCCTGGGACAATACACTACATCTGCCATCAAGTCCAAAGTAGACTGCAGAAGAAGGCGGTCATAACGTGCAAACAACTCTTCTTCCACCAGTTCTTTGACCTAAAAAAAGAAAGAAGAAACATCTGGTTGGTGCTTCATGATAATTTGGACACTGACCCTGGATCATCAGGAAATCCTTAGGATTCTGGTCCAAAATTCATGAGTCTGCTGCTCAGAGATGGGTTAAACCCTCTTGTCTCCTTCAGATAGAGTCACTAATTCATGTCCAGAAAGTCAAAGAGACAAAGCACTGTTTCTTTGGGTTTCTTAAACGCATTACGCTCAGTTCAGAGACAAAGTTAGAAGACCATCAAAGGAAAATATAATCCCAGGACCAGACTTGGAGTTACTAACATTTACACAGTAACTCATTTCACTGCCAAGCTGATTACGAGTCCATCCTAGGCAGCCTTTGGGTTCATTTTAACTAAAATGATAGTACATTATTTAAAATAAATGAAGTGGATAAATTTATGGGCTTTAAGTAATACATGATCCTGATGATTATAAGGGAGTCTCTTGCTATACTTGCTCCCCAATCAGAGAAAGAGAGGCTCCCCAAAAGACAATCAGTTACCTGGCCAGGAGTGGCAACAGAGGAGCACTTTGGTTCTGGACAGTTGAGACAGTGCACCTGGCCATCCCTGATCTGGATTTCAAAGTAGTCCTTCAAACAGGCTTTGCAGTAGACATGCCTGCACTCCAGGAAGTACATACACTCGCTGCCCAGCTTCTCACAAAAGCAGATATTGCACAGGTACATCTTACTGTTAAAGCACTTTTTCTGCTGAGCTTGATCAAAGTCTAAGATTTCCCGTATCAGGCTGGACAAAGACTCCACATCCTGCACAGCTCTCTCATCCACAAATTCTTCCTGGTCTACCGTAGTGCCAGTTGCCCCCCCAAAATCTAGTTCTGTGTTAGGAGGTGCCAGAGATGTCCTGCTCTGTACATTCCCCTGGGGGCCCATTTTGAGCTCGTAGGGAGAAGCAATGTTCAGGTATGCTAGGGTTTCTTCTTTGAGAAACTGCATCCAGGCAAACAGGACCACACAGCCACGATGTTCTTCCCACAGGTTGTCTAAGTGCTTGCACAGAGCAGTTAGCTACGACAAAAAGGTAACATCATTGAGTATCGGAAATAAAAAATGCTATTTAAAAAAACCTAACTCTTGACTCAGAATGATTTCATTTTTACGCTTCTACTTTAGGCCTTTAAACTCTATCATCATTTTCCTTAGCTGTGACATGTTGCAAAATGACCTGGAAGTCTCATCATCAGTTCATCTTCTACAGAGTAAGCCCTTTGTGTCTAAATATACCACAAAGTTAAAAGCTTAGAGATTCAAGCAACCCAGAACAAAGAAATCAGTGAATATGCCAAAAGTATACTATACTTTACTGTAACAGAAATCATCTAACATGCTACATGTTCTAAAAAGAATAGGATTTCGTTCTAAAGTGCTTCAGATCCTTTATTGTCCTAGCTCTTTTATGTGTCCTGGGATAGTTTAAAAATTGACAAATTTTCCTTGCACGATGTAAAATTTCATCTGCATTACGATTAGTAATGAAAGACGTTAAAAATGACCAATTTTTAAAATTAAATTATTATAATTATATAATAAAGTGTAACATATAGAAATCACTAAAGGAAAATCCTTGTTTTGTCAAGTGCATTTTTTTGATTTACAACTTCATTTCACTAACCCATACCTGTTTAAAACAAAACTAAGTTAGTAAAAGGAATTAGATTAATGTTGCAGGTACAAAAATGGGTTGGTACAGCTTGAATGTTACATCAAACGTCTATATTTTCTAAGTTAAGGAAGCAAGGTAAAATAATTTGATTTTTTTCTCCTTAAAAAATAGGGCCTGTTTAGACTGAAAGGCAAATACAAGCATCTCCTCCCATTCTACCCCACAAAGACCTCTAAAATATGCATTAAAAAGTTACATTAATAAGTAGCTTTTAACATAAACCATTTTTTAAAAAAACAGGCAAACAAATCTTGGTTAATTCAAATGAATACCAATTGAAAAGGGACAGTATAATTCCACGTTACCTTTCTTACAGTGTCTGATACTGAACACAGATGGGCCCTTAATATTTGCTCGTGATAAACTCAGTGTTAAACAAAGAAATCTTTCATTTAGATATGACTTTTCTCATAAGAAAAACCTAGGTTGTTGCTGGTGCTTAATTCTATATAACAGAAATGCCATAATTACTAATAACCAAAAGGTTAACTACTCTTTGAGCCATAAAATTAGATGACTACCTCTTTAACTATGTTGTTGTTGTTCAGTGATTTCAGTGGTCTTTGTGACCTCATTTGAGGTTTTCTTGGCGAAGATACTGGAGTGGTTTGCCATTTCCTTCTCCAGCTCATTTTATAAATAAGGAACTAAGGCAAACAGGGTTAAGTGACTTGCCCAGGGTCACACAGCTGGAAGTATCTTAGGCAGGATTTGAATTCAAGTCTTCCAGACTTCAGGCCCAGCACTTCATCTGCCATACCACCTAAGTGACCCATCTCCTCATCTAACCCTTTTCTAACTCCCTTCTTTCTTCCTTCTTTTTTCCCTCAACACTTCTGAAAAGGTAGTTGATTTGTTCATAGATTTGGGGAGAAAAGAGGCAACCCATTCTAATTCCCTTTCACTGCCCCCTCAGACTAAAGAAACAGGCCCAACTGTTAACTCTATCTTGTATACATAGTGCTAAGAGGTCAAAGCATCACACATAGAACTATAAGACTATAAATGAACATTTAGTAATAGGTATTTTGGATATCTAAACAATGAAAGTTGTAAACAAAGTCAAAGGAGCTGAAATAAGAAATGTGGATTTTTTCACCTGAAAAAATGCCATTGTTCTAATTACCTTAGATATAGAACATTATAACAGGATCAAGTGCATTATTCTTTGCAGCTTAAGTTATATAAAACCATAAACCCTAATTTTCTTGTCTGCCTCTCTATCTCTCTTTTTTCTATTTCCTATATCCCTACTAATTTTTAACATTGTAGTGATGAAAAATAATTATTTTAAACTATTTATACAATTAAAAAATATTGTGAAGCATACACTGAGCTTTTTGTAGAAACAGCACCAAAAAAAACTACTAAATTAATTCTACTCCAATTATCTACACGCCAAGCTGCCAGGCAGTTTAGACTCAAGTAGGCCACCACTATTTTCTATTCTCTATTCTACTCTCTATTACTGAAGCTCTCTGCCACTAGCTCAGATATTAAAATTTAAAGTACTATTTTTAATTTTAAAAGTATAATAACCTTTTTACAAATTCTGAGGTGGCCTATTTTAATCCTGAAGCATGTTTCCTCGTTCTCTATAAGCATTGTTATAACTTAATGATATTCTAAAAAGCAGAGTTGGAGGAGGTGAAAACTACATGGCCAACAATGAAAAATGGGCAGGCTACTTATTCTTTGCACTCAGCAAATGACAGCTTATCTCTTAACACTCTTCAGCCTATCAATCTTCAAAAGGATTTTGACAAGTCTTGCTGCTATTGAACCAAAATCTGTGCCTGCATGTTTTGTATTATGCCTAAAGCCTTTTTTCTTTCACAAAATATAATGTAGAAAAATAACAAATTTCAGAGAAAATGTAGGCACTTAATATGAGGTGTTTGGCCTTAGAGATACATGTGAGATATCTAAATATCTTCTAGAACCTAATATTACTGCTTTTATGAATTCAAATACAGAGTCCAACTAATTAGGAAATGTTTATTTCTACAAAGAGTAAAAAATGAAACAAAGCCACTTTTTATATTTACTTAAGAAATTTGCTTCTTACAACGTGAAATTTTTAATCCTTTGCAACTAAATGAGATTTCCTTTGAAAAGAAAAAAAAGCCATTTAGCTGGGAAGCAAATACAAAGAAAGAAGTAGCACTAACTCCTAAGGAAAAAAAGACAGGGTTATTAACTTTGGAGAAAGCATAGTTTTTCCAATTTTAATATGGATAAAATTAGAAAACTGCAAGATGATAAAAGAGAAACAATATACTTGATTTTAAATTATTTCTCCTGCAATCTATGATGGGTCCACATTACACTAAAAGAATTAAAACATTTCAACTACCTCCTAAAAAACAAAAGTATTTTCAATTATAGAGTAACAGAATATCTGAGTTAGAAAGAAACCTTAGAGATCACAGGATCATCATTTAGTCCAAACCTCATTTTACAGATGAGGAAACTGAGGCCCAGAGAGTTTAGTGACTTGCCTAAGATCATACTACTACAATTAGAAGAGCTATGATTAGAACCTAGGTTTTCTGATTCCTAGTCTAGTATATCAATCAACTTCTCATTAAGCAGGATTTTATAAAGGTAAAAAAAATTTAAAAGCTACTCCTTATTGTATTGAATTTTTTTAATGCCATCAAGGTGAACAGCAGTTAAGGAAAAGTATTCAAGTTCCTGAAAATGGATAATAAAAAGTGAGTTTCAAACCTAACCTGAGTTGGTGAAAGCCATTTGCCACTCAGAGTGAATGCTGGTGGGGAGGTTGATGGATAATCTGGTGGAAGTTCAAAATTCAGCACAAGTGGAGGCAGAAAGCAAATTGTATATTCAAAGCCACCATTCTGGAGACACTCCGTTGGATTGCCTGAACCAAAAACAGGGAATTCAAGGATCAGTCAATATTTGAGTGCCCCACTGGGTGCAAAACAATGCACTGGTGGGGTGAGAGGAAAAGGAAGGGGAGGTCAGTGATGGTGGTATAAGAAAGAAAATGGAATTTTTTTCCCCAAAAAAGAGAAATCTCTTGGTCCCCCTATGTCTAAGTCTCTATCCCTCCTTCTTTAATTTTTAGTTTTCCTTTGAAGGGGAAAAAAAAACAGCCTTTAAAAATCAAGCAAAGCAACAATGACTTGTTTAATAAAAATATAATTTACTCTAGGATACAATGTTTGGTGAGATTCCCAACTTTAATGAGTCACCAAATTATACACACTACTTTAACAGCAGAAAATTAAAGAAAATTTTCAGAGAAAAGGGAAATATTTATCCTTACCGAACAGTCTTGTATGAAGCACTGAGATTAACTGAGGCCAGGTGTCATGGTCCATTTAGATTAACATGTGCCAATACACTGATCTTCCATCCGGAGGGTATCTTGCTCATGCAGGCCAGCATTTCCACAACCAAAGTTTCACTTGTATTACCTTACTTCCTTTTCTCCAGTCCTCCTCTATACTGTAATAACTTTTGGGGGAAAGTACCCTGAGATCCTTCTGTGATGTTTGTGACATCCTACTGCTACTTTAGGTTTTGTTTTTAAGCAAAAGTTACTGAGTATGGCAGCAAACATAAATGGTAGTTAGGAAGAATTTTGGAAGCCATTTTGTGAGAAGCATAAACTATCTGGAAATCCTATTTGGTATTCAAGAAAATAGCAACTAAAAATCTACTCACCCCTTTTATGTAGGTTATCAAAGAGACATGCAGAAGTTATTTAGGTTATCAAAGAGACATGCAGAGAGTGGTTAGCCACTCTCCAAATAATGCCCAACACCTCAAGCTATAACAATGGTATAACAATAACAATGGCATCTCTGCCAGGAAAACCAGAAAATGCTGCATTTAGGAAAATCTCTTTAAAACTGAATAAGAATCACGACTCACCGCTCACAAATATTTTGAAATTCTGAGGCAAATCCAAACATATTCTGGTTTCTCCACCTTGAACAGACTCTGCTTTTTTAAATTCGTCTTCATCATAAATACTTGCCAAGGCCAGCAATTCATCCTCCTGGGCTTCTCGGTCTTCTGACGACATTTAATTTGCTGTGGAGTTAAGGATATTCACTTAAATTAGTAAGACTAAAGAGAGTGCAAAACAAACAAACAATCCCATAACATCAAAAACAAAACAACACTAAAACCTACACAATTGCTAGGCAACAGTGTCAGTCTTGTGTAAGTCTGAAAACAAGGTAGGTATAATACGACAATATTTCCTTATCTCTTCAATTAAAACAGCCATATTAGAAATTGCTGGGGCAGCTAGATGGCACAGGGGACAGAGCACCGGCCCTGGAGTCAGGAGGACCTGAGTTCAAATCCGGCCTCAGACACATGATACTCACTAGCTGTGTGACTCTGGGCAAGTCACTTAACCCCAGTTGCCTGACCAAAAATAAATAAATAAAAACAAACAAAAAGAAATTGTTGCTTATTGCCAGCTTTGGTTGATTTGGTCTTTTGTGAGGACTAATTTTAGAATAATCAGCAACTATAAGATTGTTCTTATGCTTTTATAGTAGGGAGTATGTCTTCTACAACTCTGTATCACAGTATATAGAACAGTGTCTATCATTAGGATTCAATAAATCATTGATTTTTACCTAAAGATAAATGGACAAAAACTCATTTTTAAAAAGTCACCAAGGAATTTAAAAGTAGAAAAGAGACACAGTATTGCTAATACCAAATTGACAATGATTTAAAAAACAAAAACAGGTTCTAATAAACCTATTATAGGAAGTCTATGATTTAAATACATCCCCAGTAAATACACTGCCACCTAGGAATAGCTGCCCCACCACTGTAATCACAAGAATTCCCTTTCCCTCCCAGCTGCCTGGGACATCCCCATCTCTTTCTCCAGATTACAACAAAAGGAAGGAGATTAAAGGTACAATCCCAAATTCTTATCCCCCAGAAAGCCTGTCCTTTGTGGTTTTTTTAATTGTGAACTTACTTATCAAACAGGTACATTTCAGTACAAAGGTCAAAAAAGATGAAGATGGTTGACTGCATATGAAACAGTAAACTTGATCTGTATATAGTTTTTAAAAGTGTATATTTAACACGGTAGTAAGAAAGCTGCTGTTTGTGTCCCCTTGTGAATGTTTTCTTCTGGGCACTTTAAAAATTTTTATCTAATGGACAGAGCCCTGGCCCTGGAGTCAGGAGGACCTTAGTTCACATAGGGCCTCAGACACATAGCACTCACAAGCTGTGTGACTCAGGGCAAGTCACTTAATCCCAATTGCTTCATATTAAAAAAAAAGAAAAGAACATTTTTTTATTGATATATTAGACTTATGGAATATTACTGGTTAAATGGATTGGGGGAGAGCAGCAGGGATTACTTGGCAACCTAGTTATAATTTACAACTTTATAACATGGTTTTTGTGGGGAAAATGAATGTTTCAAATATCTGACTATAAATTTTTAGAACACACAAATTAGAAATTTCCTACAGCTGTATATACAGCCAGTTGGTGCAAGGGATAGAACACTAGGCCTGGAATCAGGAAGACCTGAGTTCAAATCCAGCCTCAAACATTTACTAGCTTCAATCCTGGCCAAGTCATTTAACCCTATTTGCCTCACTTTCCTCATCTGTAAAATGAGCTGGAAAAGGAAATAACAAGCCACTCCAATATCTTTGCCAAGAAAACTCCAAATGGAGTCATGGAGAATTGGACACAACAGAAACAACAAAATATGCAATGAAAACTTAGGAATACTATTGTAATTACTGGTACTTCTCACTTTAAGAAAATCCTGATATACAAAAATGTAGCTTCATAAAAGGGAAAAATTCAGAAGTGATCATTCATACAACAAGAAGTTTTACCTCAGGGTTCCCTTAAATAAACAATCAGAGACAGTTTGAGCTAGCCTTCAGGGATTATTTTGTCTACTCCGATCATTTTACAAACAAGGAAACAAAGGCCCAGGAAGGGTGATTTACACAAGGTTATACAGATAATTAGTGACAGAGCTGGCAATGGAACCCAATTCTTCTAATTAAACTGCCCAGTGGACTCTATCTCACCACATTGTCTCTCAATAGGTCATATGATTAAGAAGTCATTCTCCATACAGCTTTTTAGAATACCTATTGTGTAAAGCACAAATATGTGTATGTGCCTGTGCGTCTAGTCTAGTCTAACATTTTTTAATACTGTTTACAAAATAACAAAGTAGCAAAAATGATCTGTGTGACAATATTTCATTCCTTACTGAAATGTTACCATTCTCAAACTGCATCTCTACCTAGTATTAAGTGGCAGGTTTCAAAATATTTGCTTTAAATAACACGTCTAAGAAAATGATACCTAATATTGTAATTGGCATTCTCAGTCCAATTAGCCTGGGAGTACCACTAATTTCTTTTATTTTCCTGCAAGAATTACCTAAAAGGAGTTGCTAAAATTGGAAACTAAAGTTGGTATTGTAATCATTTGCAGAAAACAAGTAATTATAGTAGCGGGTATTAGGGTTCTCTCAAAATGTATATTCTGAATTTTCACTATCTTTCCTTTAAATGAAACACTACACATAAGCCTAAATCGAACTACCAAACTTCCAACTTGGTGGTTAACTTGCTCAGGCTATGTAGATAGTAAATACCTCAAAGTGAAACTTTGAAGCATCTCAGCTTGCCCTTCACTATCACAAACCTCAGATACACTTTAATTTATCCTCTCTCCTTTTTCCCTTACCCTTTTACTCTTCCTTTTCTTTTCCTTTCTTATTCTCCCCTGCATAGGCAAGTGATATCTATGGGCATTCCTTGAAAATGATTGTAATCAAAACTACAAAGTACGTACATATACATCACTTCTCATATTCCAAAGGTCCCTGTAATTCTTAATTTCATAACACTGCCTGTGTCCAGAATATAAACTACGTTAAGAATCTGCCACATAGTTAACTGTCTTAGTTATTCGAAAGGAACTTTATGGAACTTAGGTTTTGGCTGGGAATTCCGGCAAGTTCCCTATTTAGTGTAAAAAAAAAAAGTATAGCAAAAATCATACTAGTTAATCTCTGATAATTCAGCTGCTTGACATGTTGCATTCTGTATGAAGAAAAATTCTGCTAAACCAATTAGGGAAGAAAACAGGATAATTGTTTTTCAAGATATGCTAATTATGAACAATTCATCTATTAAAAACAAGTTTTATTAGTTCTCTATTTAAAAGCACTTTGTTAGGAATTATTTTAAGGTATAATGTATGTATATATCAAACACACAGAGTGAACTCTGTGCCTATCAGCAAAACGTGTTCACATACATACATACACATAAGTATAACTCTTTAAGCAAATCTAACATGAAAGCTTGGATTTACAAAAAAAGGTAACCATGTGTGATTATTTACATACATAAATATTCACCAGAGGTCTTCTAAACAGCAAAATCATTCAATTTATAAAAATTATTAAAAAGTACATATCAGAAAAAAAACTACTGCATTAAATAATTTACATTTGTTAACAGTAAAATAAAAAAATTCTCCACTTATTTTCAAATACCCTACAATTCACACAAGTGTCCACAATTTCCAATTGGCCCATGTTTTCCTAGTTAAGATCATAGGGTATTTCTTCTATGTGAATTTCATCATTTTCCCAAGACCCTCTTTAAATCACATACTCTCTATAAAGGTTTCTCTATTCAACTCAGCCAGTATAATCTCTCAACTCCTCTGAACAAAAGTTTTACATTATCAAAACTCTGACAGTTTCTCTATGCCATTCATTAACCTGGCACTTAAATGCTGCCTAATACTGGAGATTTTTCCCCCCTCTATGTTATTTTCCTAATTAGACTGTGAGTACCTAGAAGACAGAGAACCTAATTTCATGGACTTTGTAACCCTACATGTCATGCACAATAAATACTTAATACTACTGATGGTGAGACAATTTCATTCCTTACTGCTACTACTAATGAAACTCTTTGATAATTTACCTTTGTCTACATTTCTGGAGATAATATCTGACATTTTAAGAATGTAATATGAACCAATGAAAGGAAATTGTTGAAGTGCTTTGAGCTCCTATAAGAAAAGTATGTTTTAATTTATAATTTTCCAAGTAGTATGCTACACTAATACCTTTAATGTAAAGCACTACAAGGAAATCTAAGATGAAACAGATTTTAAAAATCAGGTATTCATAATCAATTTTGGATTTAGGTTATCTCTCCTTGACAGGCTGTGTAGATTTGTAAATATAGCACTGGGAAGTGTGAAGTACTGAATTTTTTTGGAATTGCCAGATTCAGTTTGGCTGTTACTTGAGTCTTTCTAAGCTTCAATTTCTTCTTCTGCAATACCCTTCTTTGCCTTTAGGCCAATGTTAGAATTAATTTGTACTTAGAATATGTTCCGAATTCCTTACAGAAAGATCAACAAAACACCCAAAAAATGTTTTGTTTAGATTCCTAGTCCATTTTCCTTACAAATTCAATTGTTATGTGAGAAATGAAACACTCTGTTAGCAATGAATGTTAAGGCCATCATCTACCATCTTAAAATTTTAATCCAACATACTACTTAAAATAAGCTAAGCAGTCAGTGGGCAGGCATATTTAAAATAACTACCACCTCAGGATGTCATATAATTAAGGTCTGATGTTATGATGAAAGAATTATTCTTGGTCCTTATCTCATTAAGTATTTACAAAGTAATGCCACACTAAAATCATTACCTAAGCTGCCTGTCCTCCTTTGAAGCAAGTTGGTACGAGAACAAAATATAAGAATTTATAATCTGAGTTGCCAAATACACCACACAGAGCAAATAATACCACCCTCCTAACTTTCTGCTGCTTTCAATGAAGTTGAGCAATACCAAGTTCCACACTTGGCCACATCATTTCTTGCAATTAACAAGAACTACAAGCTTGGTGCTTGTAAATGGGCTTAAAGAATTCAGTAGGCACCCTCAACCTCCTCACCCAGACAAATAACCTGTCAACAGGATAAAAATCTGTCAACCCTATTTAAGGTTTTGCTGTAATGGACTAAATTTTAAGGCAAAGAATATAGGCCTTCAAAAAACATTTCAATTACAGTATCCACATCTGTTGAAGGAAGCCCATTCTAAATCACCAGATTTATCTTAATACAACAAAAGTAATAAAATGACACCAAATGGGACCAGGATGGACATAGGTCATAGGATGAGGGAACTGGATGGCAGTCAAGAGCAATTAGATTCAGATCTGGGATCTGCTGTGAGACTTGGGTCCAGTCACTTCACTTCTCTGTTTCCTCTCATATAAAATAAGGGAAGGTGGACCAAATGATCTCTAAGGTGTCTTCCAGCTCTTATAATCCTAGGAAATGTTAGGTACCAATCAAAAGCATTCAAAGCCTAAAGTGAAGGATTAAGAGTTTCATTCCTAACACTTTGTATTTAAGCTGTTTTCCTCACAAAGCAGAGGCAGGAAAAAGTGTTTTGTAAACTCTGGGCCCTATAAAAAGGCGAATTATTCTCCTGACAGCCAGCCACCCAATGAGGAAAATAATTTATCACTAATTTTCTCTACCTCCATCCTTTAAAAACGGTAATAAGAGCTAGCGCCTTAACATTTGCAAGTATTCCCTCATTTTATCCTCATAACTCCGAGCGGGAGATGTTATCATCTCCCATTTTACAGATGAGGAAACCGAGGAAGGCAAAGGTCAAGTGACTTGCCCAAGGTCACACACCTGCTAAACGTCTGAGCTCGAGCCTTCCTGAGTTCCAGTCCAGCGTTGCATCCCCTGCACCACCCAACTTTACCGCAGTAGGGGTTCCCCTCCTTCTAGAAAAACAGGCCATTCCGCACAGGGAGAACGGGGCAGGGGCGGGGGCCTGTCAGCCCTGCCCTTTCCCACGGGGGAGCCTCGGTTCCGTCGTCTGCCGACGGTCTGGGGCCGGATTCGGGCAGCTTTAAGATGTCTCCGGGGAGAACCCGCACTAAGAGCCCTCCCCCGCGCCCTCAGAGGGCAGCCCCGCAACCGCCCGGCCCCGCCTCATCTCTGCCTCCCCACCTCTCCCGACCTGGCGCCTGGAGGCCGGCGCCCTCACCTTCCGGTGGCACCCCGAGCTCGGCCCCAAAGGTTCCGCCCCGCTCTCCCCTCCCCCCTCCCCCCGGCTGGTCCAGCGCGCGGCCAGCGCCTCGAGACCCGCGGAGCGAAGGCCGGCCGCCGCGAGGGTAGCTCCGGCCTGGTGGGCCGTCTCCGCCGCCGCCGCCCCCGCAGCCTCTCAGCTCGGCCCCCACCCCCCAGAGGGAGGTCGGCGTTGAGGTCGGCGGCGACTTCCGCTCCCTGCCGTCCACCTCACCTGGCCCGGCAGGCAGCTTCCTCTAACCACAGAGCAACCGAACCGAACGGGATGGGAAGGGATGGGATGGGATGGGATGGGGAGGGGCGGCCAAGGGTGGGGTGCGGAGGGCGGGGCCGAAGGCCAGAGGGAAGGCGCCGCGCAGCCGCCGAGGCTCCTGGAGCTGCGCCCCCTGCAGGGTGGAGGTGGTCAGCGCCGGAGCGGCCGGAAGAGGGGAAGCCGGGGTGGAGGAGGGGGGAGGAGGAAGAGGGCAGCCTAGAGATGGAATCGGGGGCGTCTCAGATGCTGACTAACGGCCCTGCTGGGCTTTAGAACTGGGTGGGTGAGTGAGCAGGCCCTAAGAGGTTATCAAGGCACACAACCCCTTCCTCTTTTATCGAGTAGGGAGCTGAGGCTCAGTGGCTTGCCCAAAGGCACACAGGACAATAGAGCCTTCATTCATTCATTCATTCATTCATTCGCATCGTTCTAGGGATCTTTCTGCTAAGCTACTTGTAGGTGTGCCCCCAGGAGATGCCCTAGTTCTCTACAGTTTGTTTGCTTCCCCCTCATTCGCTCTGAGATCATGGAGAACCTCAGAGATCATCCGACATTGGCAAATTAGGAAATGGAAGTCAAGTGAAGTTTCTGCTATCTTTGCCTCTCTAGTTCGTCTCTGCTGTCACTAATTAGCTGTGTTAATAACCCTGGCCAAGTCACTTTACCTTTGCCCAATTCAGGGAGTCGGACCTCACAAGACTGTTAGTATCAAAGGTCATCAACACTTCTTAACATGAACATTTAAAAACGGACTCTTCCCTTCATCCTGTTTCTCCCTTCTTTTTAGCTCTTGGCGAAAGTCCTGCAAGCTAGATTGAGCAACTGTGAACTTCACTGAGGTCAGGACAAAGGACTAAAGCAATTCCTGGTACAATGTTTTGATATTAAAAACATAGAACATAGTTCAGGTTGAGAAACCATGTTGAAGGTGAATAAGCTCCCCTGCAACTGTAAAATTCTATGATTTTATGGTAGGAGCTCAACAAAATGGTTGTTAAATTGAACTGAGACCACCGAGGTACCCCACCTAATGGAGTTAGCCATACCCAGAGCTCAGATCTCTTTTCTTTCCAGGATTTCCATATCTCTGTACTTGGGGGAAATGAAAGTTCACCAGACATTTTTCTCCTTGAAGTGAATAGTGGGGTAGCAAGGAATTCCCATTTATTTTTTTACAATTTTTTTTTCTGCACCGGGTAGGCATAATAACAATAGCTGGTATTTGTATAGAGCTTTAAGCAAAGCAGCTGTTAGTTACTTCATAACAATTCTGTCAAGTAAATAACTATAGGAAGCTGAGGTTCAGAGGGATTAAGAAACTGATCCCATAGTCACACATTATTAAGTATCAGAAAGAGTATTCAAGCTCAAAGATTCCTAACTCCAAGTTCAAAACTATCTGTCGCATTAAAACCCGGGTCAAGCCTAGTACTATCCACCGTAGTACCCACTTGCCCTAAAATAGGAATTAATTTAAGACTCTCAAGATTCACAAGCTAGCAGCCATAGTAAAGCAATATCCTAAGCAACACAACTTTATATGCATGCCCTTAGAGTCTCTCTTCAGTTCTAATTGTAAAATACAGGGGGAGGCAAAGAGAGAGAGTTGGAACCTCAGAATTCTTATTCCAAGCAGCTAGTATTATACCCGTGAAATAATGAGTGGCTAAGACAGTATACATTATAGATTATATTATAGATTGATATAAAAGTGCCGCATTGTACAGTACATAAAATAAGAACAAAAGGAGTTAAAGAGAAAGAATAATGTAGGGTTGGAGGGGAGGGAGGACTGGAAGAGGGTTCAAGATTGGTCTGACTAAAGCAGAGGTTTCTGAGCATCTGAGCATCAGCCTTTTTACAAAGCAAACAATTACCCCTCCTCCCCTATTTGCGTTTTATAAATCTGAATTTTCATAGGTCAAGTTTGAGTAAAGCCTTGCCTGTAATTGAAATATGGCTCTATGATGGAAACAAAAACCTAGGAAAATCAGTCCAGAAGAATGAAATTCATTTGACCAAATCCATTGTCACTTTCACTAACAATCAGTGTAGACAAAAAGAGAGAAAAATCCTTGCCTCCTCCCTACCTCAGAATAGAAACCAAATGAAATGCTCAGTCACATTGTATTAGTAAGTAATTCAGCCTAAAGGAAAGTGTCTGGGCATGAAAGAACTCCCACCTTCTCCATCACAGGCCAGTAGAGCTTTACTATTATACAGCAATCCTTGTGTCATTGGTATGCTTCCTTGTACCCTTCATTACCAAATGCATGTATGTGAGATTACATGATCCAGTATGAGTCTACTGGATAACCCATAAGGATTTATCTAAGACAGGCATAGTCATAGGTTTAATTGTGACTTCATGTGATGTCACAGACAGTGAATGGAGATAATTGAAGAGGGTGGCCCCTGAGTGGGAATTTTGTTGTCAAGGTGGTTGGTTAGTTAGTATTCATAAGCATCGAAAGTGGCCATGTTCCTGTTTAGATTTTAAATTGTTTCTGAGAATACAGTTAGAGAAGTTTCTATGGTTCAGAGCTGAATTCAAAACAGAATTTAGAAAACTGTTTGAGTCAGCCCAGAATCTGATTACATTAAGAATAACAGAGATTTCAGGTGTTCTGATTCCTAGTGTATCATGCTGCCCTTTCATGACCTGTTCCTGGACCCAGATGGTGAGAGCAGCACATCTAAGATGCAGGTTTCCAACTTGAATTCTACCTTTTGGCTTGTTAGTTTAGTAGCATTCAAATGTGTGGCTCTTGAGGCTGATCAAGTCACTTAAACACTCAGAGTATCAGTTTCCTCCACTATGAAATGGGAATAATGCTTTGTGTGACCTACTTCACAGTAGTGTTGAGTGGATGGGACTTTTTTAAACCTCAAAGTACTAAATGAATGTGAACAATCATTGCCGTTTCCTGTGGCACTGATGAATGAGAGGATATTAAACTAAGTCTGCCAAGGTAGCAAAAAAAAAAAAAGAAGAATGAGATTGGTTTTGCAATTGGTAAACACTTTTATATCTTTGGTTTTAGGATGGCTTAACTCAGCCAGATAGGTCATCTTGTCAGTTACAACTTTAGATCAAGCTTCGTCCCTGCCTTCAAGAAGCTTGCATTCTAGTAGCAACATAGATAACCATAGTATAATCATATTTATGCATTAGACAGCTACAAAACTCAGATCTTTTTCTTATTCCAAGTTCAGTACTCCTCCCACTACATTATTCTGCTTCTCAGTATTGCTGGTACCTCATGGGTAGTGTGTAAACTTGGTCCTCTCCGAGAGTGAGTTTGATTAATTGATTAGAGAAATATTATAAGACTAAGATCAAGGTTTTAGATAAGGGACTTTGACAGAGATCACTGAGGAGCTGTGCAGGCCTTTTCCATTCTCATTTTGAGTCTAGACAGTAATAGTAAGTGAGGTGAGCAGACAAACTTGGAGACTCTCTAGATTATGAGATAGAGTGAGTTTAGGTTATGGTCTCACGGGCCATTCCCAGATAGATCATGAGCTGTCTTGCCACCTACCTTGTCATTTGTTACAGCCTCCAAAGGTGAAGTCCTAGAGGAGCTCAGCTACTCAGGCTTTGGAACTCTGGGTCTTGTAGCTATGCTGTCCCGATTAGTGAGAGCCAGCCCCAGATTAGAGCATGCCATTTGACCAGGCCATCTTCTTGCCATCAGTCACTCTGGAGCAGCATGGACCCATCAAATACTCTGGTTATAGGTGTTGCCTTTCTCCATTACAGTGTAAGCTCTTCGAGGGGCAGGGACATGTTTTTTTCATGCATACCTTTTACAGCTAATGGATGTATGCAGATGTAAATTGGGCTGTGATATATCTATGTAGGTATGTATGTATACATATGTGTGTGTGCATGTGTGTATACATACTTGTAAGTCTTCTTTGAACTCTGGAAGCAGAGTACATTGAGAAATGAAGTCTCAGAAAATAAGGCATAGGAATTCTTCCTTCACGTTGGACTCCAAAACCAGAGGCCCAATTTTGGGGTGATACCTGGGTACAGAGAATAACTCTAGGTTATGTCATTTCAGGAGAAGATTCCCAGATGCAGCTGCTGGAGAGAAACTTCAGAGGATCATTATGTCTAAAAGACTCTCTTAGTATCATTATGAGTCCCATTTGAAGCATTGGATCTAGGGAAAAAAAATTGTTGAGGGTATTGAAAAAAGCATACAGAGACCTTGATAATAATGGAAATTAAAGGGATTGTCTATATTTGTCTATAGCCCCAAGGATGAATTGTTGGTCCTAAAGCTGTATATATGGAACTAGTAATAGCAACTATGTCTTTTTTCTCTTGATTTTAATTATTCCTAATTATTCCATTATTAATGAGTATTTCCCACCTCATCTGCAAATGACCTTTAGATTCATAAGAGACTGGACAGACAGAGGGAATGTTAGAAGCTTTTCTGCTAAGAATTTTTTGCAGTAATGTTCATTTTGCTTTCTAGATACTTGGATATTAACTGTCTCCAACTCGGTCCCAGCCTGAATGCTAGGTCTCAGTTAAAACAGGACACAAAACAGACTTGGTCCTTAAAAGCAGGCAACACTGAAGGCCTGCTTGGTTTGGAGCAAAGAAGCCTTCATGGCCTCAGAGAGAAAGAT